AAAAACTTCTGGTAGTATACTATTGGCATAAAGCTTACCAGTAACTGTATGCCCTTTTTTCACTACAATTCGTGCTATAACCCCATCTACGGTATAAAATATACAAAACATTCTTTTTTTTTGAATTTTGCGCCGTTCTCACAATTTGTGGCCTGTTCTTCCCTTTTTCTATCCAAACCTTATTCGCTTCCTTACTTGAAACTGTAAAGAAATATATCCATGTTTCGTCCCCAGTTATAATATTATTGTATCCTTCTTTTAAAGTTTCCAATAGTTGTTTAGAAACTTCTACTCGTAGCCGCTTATTGTCCTCCGAAAGCTTATGAGGAACCCATTTTGCACAGACTTTGTGAAAGTCCAGTTCATTGCGCAAAATATGGGTAATTCTTTCACGGGAAATACCTACCTGAGTAGCCAATTCCGTGGTAGTAATATGAGGGTCGTCATTAACAAGTTCGTCGACTTTGGCAATTTTTTCTGACGTCACCGCTTCGCGAGGGCGTCCAGAACGAGCCTTGTCAGAAACACTCTCATCTCCGTCCTTGAATGTACGAATCCAGCGTTGAATTGTGCGAAGTGATAGTGCATCTTCCCCTTCTGCATTGACTAACTCGTCGTGAATCTGAGTTGGCTCCCGACCGTTCTTCCATGAAACATAAATGTAGTATCGTTGCTGTTCATAGCTCATTTTTGTCCAGTTGCTTTTGTATAGGGTTTTCAAAAATCTATTTCTCGAGAATGGTCAAATGAATTTTTATAATCTTTTTTTTCTTTTATTCCTCGAAACGTTGCGCAACGTTGGATTACCTCCATTTTTGGATCGGTCAGCTGATCATTGACATATGACCCCGGCGACAAAACTTTTCAGCACCCCCACGTACATTTTGAAACAGAGTTTACTGCGGATATCCTACTGCATTCTGAATCTCTCCCATGCACAGTCCTAGCTCGCTAGCTAATTGCCGGTAATAGGCTTTCTCGTCTTTAGCAATATCAGCTTTAGCCATTTTAGGATTATCTTCCACCATGGCTACATTTTCTTTTGTTGCGTAGATCTTTCTTGCATTATCGATATCTTCAGCCATTATGTATCGGAAGAATAAATATCCATTTTTGACCTTTGATTTATCATTAGGAGGAGCTGAATTCGCAGACGCATTTTTCTTATCCAATTTTGGGTTGCATTAGATGAGGCCCTGTACGTATGATTCTTTTTTGCACTTGTGGCATCGAATCCATTAAGTTAATGGTCTTATCCAACTACATACTGCGATTCACGAAAATGTGAGAAAAGGGTTAAAACACAATAAACTGAGCACCGAGCGAGAAGGGAAGGCGCCATTGGTAAAGATGCTGCCCTCACACACTTATTCGAAAAGAGTCAGGGCAACGGAGATTCTTTATGTGAGTGCGCGGAGATTCTTTATGTGCGTGCGTGATTTTGTCCGTATCGCGAGAATTTGATCTCGCGCTGCATATTGCCATGAAAGATCGCGGATTCTACGAAAGATTTATAGTCTATCTCCTTCGAGGCGTATAGATGCCACAAAGAAGATGGTGCTTATGGACGACCATCACACATTGTTCAAACTAAGGGAGTTTGTTCAAGCGTTTGTAATTCACTTTCGTGGTGAAAGCGACGCTTCCTTGGCAGTGAAGGGGCTGGATTATATTACTATCAATCAACACAATTGAATATAGTAAGCGAGATGGATGTGAGGAAGTTGCTCAAGTGCGGGAGAATACAAACTTACCTTTCAAATTTTCTGCCAGTATGGGTATGTCTGTAATAGGGGTCAAAGCTGACATGTTTCAGTTTATTAGGAGAGGTCATATTATATAAGAATATCGCCGCTGTAACTTGAAGGAACAAGCCGTTATTTAGGCTTTGTTGCTTCACTTACTGTTTTGCTTAGTAAGCGAAGGAAGTACAATGTACTACAAACATAATGGTCCGTAATGAATAAAATAAGAAATCACACCACGTGTTTTCTGATCATTATTATTACTATGAACATTTGTCTCATTGTTAATATGCTTTGTCACTCCTCATAACGATGATCCGTCATACTAATGCCTCGCAAAAGATGAACAAGTCTGATTGAATAACGACAGACTCGGTATTCGAGTTTTGCACTATCAATATCGGTTAACTTTAAGTTGTCTTGTACAATACCTCCACAAGCGACTCGTTTAAACATTTTCTGTAAAGTTGCTGATTAGAGTTCACAAACTTGAAAAAAGTAGGCTAAAAATAGATGTTACATGTGCTGATCAAATAAGATTCGCAAAACAATCCTGAATATATAACATTTTTGAACACCCATTTTAATTTCCAAATTCCTCTTTCAATCATGTCAGATAAAGTCAAGGAAGTTACTTCGTGCGAGATACTTCTCGCATCACCTAGTCTTAATATACCAGAAACCGAAGGACTAGGCCTAAGCATCAAAGGCACTATCCGCTTTACACTTTCGGCTCCGCTCAAACTCAGCCAAGTAGTCGCTAAACTCCATGGATATTCACAATACGACAATTCTCAAAAGACGGGGATTATGAGAAATCTTAACATTAAAGATATCATCAAACAGAAAGCTACAGTCATTAATATCGCGAAATCATTCCCCGCTGGTGAGACCGAGCTTCCTTTCAGTATTAACATTAAAACACCCCAATCGCTTCTGGCAACTGTCGAAGGCAAAAATGCTGCAATACGGTACATTATTACCGTTGAACTAACAAGAGCTGGAGCACCACTCGCTGTATATAAAACTACAAAGAATGTGATTTTGCGCAAGCGTAATATACCAAAAGAATGTGATCTTAACGAAATGGTGACTGTCGAAGACGAAAAGGAGAATCTGTTAAAGTATAATTTGCGGATTTCAAAATATCTTTTTATAGAGGATACTAACGATCAAGAAGGAGATGCTGCGAATGCGCAAAGTTCTCTAAAAGTGGAAGCTTCGTTCGATGTTATCGATAACAAAACAAAAGTAAAGGAAGTGAAAGTTGAAGCTTTTGAATACGAGATGTACAATATTGCTAAAGCTACAGCTGGTGCTAGTGGATCAGCCGGGACTAAACCGTGAGTATTGGCACAATATCTAAAGCTAGTCCTTCCTCTAATTTAGTTTGATGGTTCACCTATCTTTTTTATTATGTCAGTTCCGGTTCGAAGACTGCAAAGCCAACTTCCAAAGCTCCAACGAGTGCAACCAGATCTCGTTCAACACCAAAAATTCCCGCTTTTTCTGCTATTTCTATTCCAAATCCTCATCACACCATACCGTTATTAAACCCTCCGCTGACAATACCTCTGACAGAATCCGAATCTGGTGTAGTGAAATTTGAAATTCCCTTTACTGACAAGATGAAACCAGACTCGAAAGCCCCCATATTGGAAGTGAAGCATGAGGTCGTATTGACGATTAAGTTTGAAAAGTTTCTGTTGATGCCATTAAAATTGGAAGTGCCGTTTGTGGTTGCCTCGCGTAAAAACAAAGGCGCTAAAGGTGGCGTAAAGGAGGAACCAGCGGATGAGAATAATACAAATGAATGACGAAAGTTTTGAAAACATTCTGAATTTAAATTAGAAAAGGACATTATTCATGTATTGAACGATTCACTGGGGAAACTGGCAAGGACAATTGATATTATAAATTGTTATAGAGTTTAAAAGTACTGAAATTATTGAATAATGAGAGACTTTTAGACTTCATTTGTTCGGTCTCTTACGATTGATGTTGTTAGTAACCATGTTTACCATCTTTTTTAATTGCCCTTTATGATCTGTGCGGAACATTCAATAGTAATATGTTGACAGTTTCGCGTTTTGATAGACAATTAGCCCAATTCGCTGTGAAGAGGCTCGCTCGTGTGAACACGAACGAGAACGAGTTGTACAATTCCATTAAACTTACGTAGTTAAATTATCGATCGGAAGGTTTGATCTCACACGCTGCCTCTTTACCTCTCCATGGTAATATTAGTATGTCAAATATATATGTAGGATTCGTATTTGCAGTATACAGTCGTCCCCCTCTATAAGCACATCATATAAAAAACCTCTTATAAGCACACCATGTTGAGAACCAATTACCTCTATATAGTCACAACCTCTTTATAAGCACACTTTGTTCCCGACAGCGTGACTATAGAGGGGGACGCTGTAATTGGGATATTTGCAATTATCATCAATTCTTAAGAAGTAAAGAGAGAAGACTATGAAACAGTTAAAGTTTGCCAACAAGAATTTGGCAATTAATTAATAAATAGGTAAATCCAGATAGTAATGCTATCACTTTCATATTAAAACTTAGCAGATAAACGTCAACATTAGTGCACTACGTTAATGAAGGTGTAGGCTAGTCACATGTCTTTATGACAAGTGGAACCTGGAATCTTTGTTTTAACTAATCGTATTGCTGAATATATAGTACATGTGTTAAGTTTTCGTTGTTTAATATTAACGATTCTTTGATCGACAATGTTCAATTAATCCTGATTGCATCAATTTCTCTAATTTCAGTTCTATCCGTATAAAGGTTTATACATCTTCTTCATCAACATAGTTAGCCATCGGGTCCTCGTGCCTAAAGAAAAGAGAAGCACAGATTTGGTATTTCATCCAGAAAAAGGAACCGAGTCCAAATGCCTACAAATACATACGATAACTTCTTCAAGCGATAAGCCTCCAATTCCTCTTCCGTAACTTCCGTATCGACTTTCGAATCTTTACTCATAAATGCTGAATTATACGGCCGTTTTCGATCATCTGGTTCTTCCTGTAATAGTCTAGCATGCCTTTTCGCTTCGTTCTCAATCGCCTTTTTCAATTTCTTGGAATCCAGCTGCACATCTCCTTCACCAATGTGCTTCCTCTTAATATGTATATTAACATCATCGTCTGTTTTCGCTTTAGTAATACCTTTCCTAAGATTTTCAGTGTGCATTTCAACGAGGGACTTCTTTTCGGTCTGTGCTTGTACTGGTGTCGACGTTAGAAGGTTACTAGAAGAGGCGGCTTCGATACCAGCAAGACCAGTACAGTAGGAATTTTTGATAAAGGCACGGCAACATTTGTAACCCCATTTTCCATCCGCCCAAAATGAGCCCCAGATTGATGTATGGTTGTTTATATATACTAAAAGAGTATTAGAATACGTGTTAGATTTATCATATGAAGGCGAAAGCCATATAGTTTTTTGCTCTACCAAATATCACACGATCAAAATGACCCGTAATTCGTTGGCTTGGCATATGAATCTACTTCGTATTACATTCACGCTCTCTGCACGACATCTTCTTGCTTTCGTTACTTACCATCTTCTTCGTACTTGGATTTCGCTTTTGCCTTCTCCTGGCCTTTAATAACCCTTCCTGTCCGCGAATATTCTACATAATGCTCTGTCTGAGCAAGCAGCAATTCCTTAGGTGGAACATCCAAATGTTCTTCTCCACCGTAAGTAGCCAAAATAGAGTCCTTGCTAGAATCCTTGAGCTTCTCTTTCTTGGTTAAATACTCTCGATGGAGCAATTCGCCTTGTGTCGGATTAGCTTGTAAATGAATGTCTGTTCCCTTTTCATAAGCTTGCCATGCAAACAATTGCAAATTTGCCATTTGTCGAGCATCGCCCGAGTAACGAACAAAATTGTCACCAGCATACACGGCCTAATGAAGCAAATCGCAGTGTTAGGAATTAATTAGTTTGTCGACATGAGTTCATCAATATAGCTATTTCTGAATCAATCCTATTGCCATTATAGCTTGAGAAGCGCTTTGCTTGAATAAAGCCACTTCTCGTTACCAATGATAAGGTGCATTCGGATTAAACCAGAAACCAAAATTCTATTTTACGAAACAACGGAAACTCACATCCTCAGCTGACGTGTCCGGCTTGTTCGGATTATCTCGCATAGAACGTGTTTTGGGATCGTAGTACGCAGAGTTAGGATCAAGATTTCTTAGATACTTGGCCGTATCTTCACGAATTCTAGGGGGGGAAACAAATTCGATTAATAATAAAAAACTTGGAAAATGCAATATATTAACATTATTTCTCACCTAAGGTTTCTGATTGTAGTACGTGTCTTTGTATTGACTTTTTGACCAGGCATGTCTGAACTTTCGGCATACTTGTCCTCATCTTCTTCCTCATCATCACTAGAAAATTCGCCGCTAACTCGTTCGCCAGTTTTTTTGGCAAGCTCTGTCGTGCTTTGTTTTTCGAGCTCGCTGGCTTTTAGCTTGCGACGAGCTTCCTCGATTTTTTCATACTCTGATAATATTACATAAACCAATTAGCTCACCCATCCTGGTGCGTCTTTAAAGAGTTACGATATAATGTTATCACCAACCTTCATAAATTTTGGCATGTTCTGCTGGATCATATCCGTTCCACCGATCTCTTTTTGCATCATAGTCTAATTCGATATCTTGTATTATCTCGTCAGCCTAAAAGTTTGCACCGTTCTGGGTTAGTTTCGTGATTTTAAACAGGGACTCATAAATGTCTATCATACTTGAATATCTTTTCCTGTCCATTTCGCACCAAGTTTTCTTGGTCGCTCCACGCAGTCTTTCGTCTTGTGAGTCATTGCACCGCAATTCTCACAAGCACCTTTTCGATACCTTGTAGAAGCAGGACCCTATCATACAATTCAAGTTTAGGTAAGTATCAAAATTTATACTTCTAATCGTCAACATGGCAATGAAAAGACAATGACTTACAGCTCTTACTCCACGCATATACCATGTTTCAGGTTTGGACACAGCCTCCTCATCCCGAAGCCTTTGATGTTTGAGTGTAGGTCCTCCAGTATCAAGGTACCCTTGAAAAGTGAAAAACTCGTTGGTTAACCATAGTCCTGGTAGATCTGCTCTTTCAGGAATTTCATCTGATTTCACTTACAAGGCGCTTTGGCAATATATTGTGGTATATGAGGGTTAATATCCCTCCCTTCTTCATCCTGCTCAGCGGGGGCAGTACCAGCTTTTCTAGCTGCCTCTAGATCCTTCTGTCTTCGATAATCCTCCCGACTGAGTTTTGTGCCTGCAAGCGGTTGAGAATTTGATCAACTATGGGCATATCAGATAAGTATATATAGACAACGAAGCAGTACCGAATTTTGGGCACTTACTCTGAGTAAAGCCTATTGTTGACATTGGTGATCTTGAAGTAATGAAAGTTGATCCCTCAAAGAACGAAAGACTTCAATATTGAAAGGCTCGTGTCCAAATATTCGTGGCAAAGAAGAAGTGTATGATTGGCTGGTTTTTGGTCAACTTCTATTGGTTGATGAAAAGTTTTTAACTATCGTTGGTGTTAATAATACGCGTACCAAATTTCGCGATTATCACTACAAGAACCGATACTATATGTCAAAAGATATTCCTTACTCGGATTATTTTGACGAATATTAATATACTGTCGATAACTGGTCCTACTCAAGCTTTATCCGCTACGCCTTTAGCAAAAGGTTGCTTCCGTCCGACCCTGTAAAAGTCTATAATTATAAGTACAAAAAGTGTCTGGAGAGCAAAACTGCGATCCTCTGAAGCGCTCAAAGGCGATTTCACTAAAGTTATCGTTCAAGGTTAGTATATTTTTGTGTGCAAATGAGCATAACTTGTTAACAACACAATCTGGCCAAATGCCAGATCAATACTATACGGAGTGTCCGCGCGCCACTCTGGGTTTCCTTGGCGTGTTGCTAGAATTGTGCTCTATTAAACAAAGCATCGATACTAGACGGGTGTCTGCGTGCCACCCTGGGTTTCCTCGTCGCACAATTGATTGTCAATGTATATATTTATTTATCTTTGGGACCATTAATTAATCTCATCTTTATCTTGCTTTTGAGCTTGACAAAAAAATGTGATTAGCTAACCTTAGTGAATTAGCAAAAAATGAAGAGGTGAGCCAGGAATACGACATTAACTTTCTGGTATTCCACCCTAATAAAATGAATTATTTGCATGGCACGAATATCATACATTGCTAAATAAGATATAAGGAAAGAGAAGATGATCTACTCCAGCTACCTGTTAGAATCACGGAATCCAAGCACCAGATCGACAGAGAGGAAGAGGCGACATCAACCAAAAGGGTGAGTCCAGTTGATATATAATTTTGTAAATCAAATCAAATTAAATTGTACAGATAACTGACATATTTATATATGATGAAATCAAGTGAAAAGATTTAACAAATGTATCACTTGAAGATGATGGCAAAAGTAATACTACCAATGTTGCATATTCTGGAAAAAGTATGGATGATCTTCTTCCTGGCGACCAAGCACATTCAAAAAAACCTCTCATGGAATCAAATCATTCTGATAGTTTGCATTCGTCATCATCTGTTCCATCTTCTAATATTAATTGCAAAGGTAATAATGATCTTAGGTTTTTGACATTTCCGAAGGAATATAATGGATTAATTTATATGCATCACATGCAGATATCGAGTCTAAATATTACAATGCCAGGAAACGAACAAAAATTATTTATTTGTGGGAAGATGCAATTGACAAGATTGATTTTAGAAATTTTTCAAAGAAGGATGTGAGTAAATAGTGTGGTTGCATCTACTGTACATTAACTAACTATACTTAATTCTTTTCAGTGGATTTTTGAAAGTTACAATCTTTCCAATGAGTTCTGTGATTTTCAAAAGATTACGATTCAACAGGTCAAGGAAAAACTGCTCAAAAAATTCTGTAAGTATTGAATTCAACCCGAATTATGGTTTGTGATTTTTTTATCATATTCATTATTTTTGTGATAAAATAGATGTCTATCAAATATAATGTTGATTGAGCAGATAAAACTGACATACTTATCTTGCGATCTGGCAAGTTGGAATACTATTCGTCGAAGGAAAACATCTTCTTATTTGCCATCAGTAGTTAACAATACAGTTCTGGAATATTCATTGGTAAGATTTAATTTTCTGATTGTTAAATTCCAATGCTACAGCACTAAACAATATCTATTCTAGTTGTTAAATTCTTTTATGCCACTGGAGGAAATGGAAGGCAGATGGTGCAAAATTTCTCCAGAGTCACAGAACTGAATAAAGAGGATAGAACTAATTTTTGCAAATGTCAAATCATATTATGAAACTTGTAGGTGTTACATTTGTTGTTGTCATAACTAATTCGATGCTAATATCTTTTACGGCTTTTTATTAGGCTCTATTAATAAAGATAACGAAGATACCTTTGTCCACAACACTTTACATAACTTAATCAATGAGGATTTTTCATGACCCAATGTTAGAATTAGTATGGTAAGTTTGGAAGCATTGCATGGATATAACATTCATTTTTATTGAGTATCTTCTGTATATTTGTGTTAAAAGGGCAAATAGTGAGAGCTCTACTTCAAAAAGTCGACGTCTTAACAATAAGGAAAAAGTTACTGTTAAAGGTAATAAACCTGATTTTAAAATTTCAACCAATACTAAAGATGAAGTTCTCTTCAGAGAAGTTAAACCAAGGGACTCGTCTTCTGTATTGGTCAAAAAAGATCTAGTCAAACTTGCTGAGTTTCAGGCAGGTACCAACCAAGAAATTTGGAAATAGAATCGGGATGATTTCTTTTGGTATATGGATATGTAGTAAGTATGCATAATAATTTGGACTGACTTTTTGGTGCATTTATTAACATTTGATTGCATTCATAGGTGAGCATATTCACGTCTACAAGATGGACCTTAATTATGAAGGAATATACAGGATGATCTTGGTTGCAGATGTATGTGTCCCAATTGAACGGGAAAAAATTGTAGGCTTGCTATCAGTTTTGGAAGTGGTTAAGATTATAGCTGTTTACTACATTTGATGTAAAATCGGCACCAAACATTTTAACATCCTTTTTTTTTTGTGATTTTAGGCATTGTATTTCCGAACTTTTAACAGTAATTGCCTCTGACATCCCGCCTAGTTCTCCATCACGTTCTTCCTATGGTAGAATGCCTACCCCTTCGCCAAAACCTGTCACGGTTGCAATTACTGGTCTGCAACCAACTTGATTTTTTGTATATCAATTATCTTATGTATACGTGGTGAAAAAAGATCATAAATGATTTTAGTAAAGTTTCGCCGAAATTGAGGCTGTGTTTGCACTTTGAAGAAATGAAACGCGCTTCATTTTTGATCAACGTGATATCACTAAGTATTGACGTTTGAAGTCGGTTAAATTGGTTTTTTATTATATATTTCTTTTTTAACGCTTGACGACGGGCCGCCGCCGAAATTTTTAGTTATACATTTTAAATAAATAATTGGATATATACAAACTACTACTAAAACATGCAATCCGAAGTTGATTCATTAAAACAACGAATTTCTGAGCTTGAAGCCGAAAAGGTTGAGCTTGAAACCAAGAATGCCGAGCTTTTAAAACATGTTACGGAAGAGAGCACCAAACGCGAAGCTGAAAATGCTGAGCTCAAAGCCAGGATCGCCAAATTGGAACAGATTGCAGAAAAAATACTGAGCTTAAAGATAGAATCACGAAATTGGAACAGAAATAGACGCAGGCTATTACTAATAAACAGGAGCCATCTCCTACAAAAGATATTTCACCACTTATCGAGAACAATTCTGATGAGGGGAAAGGTATTACCCCCCGATCCCTTGCCTGAAATAGAATATAGCTCAACCTGAATTTTCAACGGAGCCTGAAACATCTACAACTTCTTTACCACAAGATATTATCCATGATTCAGCTGAGATCCTTGATTTTGTAGAAACGATGCACAAGGAAAGGATTAGTAGTGAGATAAGAGAGAGGAACCGGGGAAAAAAACTTCGAGAATCACATAATAACTCCACTGATACAATTCGAAGTATCAACCCAATCGACACCTGAACCTCTGGACTCGAAAACTGTGAAAAAGCTTTGGAATCAAAATCAAAATAAAAGCCAGGACAAAACGTCCCAATCGCACAAGAAAAAGGGAACAGAGAATATCGCTCAGGTGATAACTGATGGCATCCATATTAATATTAAAAGTCTTCTTTCTATTCTACCAGAGCAGTGCGAGAGTCAACAGGGTAGTCGGTCTATTTAAGATGAAGCACATGCGTGTTTGCACATATGAAAACGCCCACAAAGTAGCGAGTCTCTTTTCCACATAAGATTTATACCACTTGGGAACTTCGGGGTGATTATAACAACCATCATGAGTTTAACCACCCGATTCCCATATGCAACTACATCCCTCTTGCGACAAAACCTGTTAGCAAACACAAATACCTTCTCTAATTTATACTCTCACTCGCACTCGCTTTTCATATATCAAAAATGTCATCTCTCCGACGAAATACAACTTCATCACAACCCTCCATTAAGGCTGGCCCTGCCGCTCAAGAACTGATCGACCCAACGCGGCGCTCACGCCGACAACGAAACTCTGGCCGCATACCTCGATCTAATAACGAATGGTAAAAAAAAAGTTACAAATTTCTCTCAAAAACGTCTTGTTAGCAAATTTAGAAAACACGAAAGTAAACATGAATTGGTCCAATGTTGAATAACAACGATAGTAACAGGCTCTTGTTCTTGGAGAACATCAGGACATCGAAATCAACGTTTGATATTTAACTCATTGACTATCACTATTAGATGAACACGTTGAAAACTAAAATTATCTTTTGCTAATTACAAATTAGCCAGTCATTGTAAAGTATATATTCTTTTCCCTTACCTTCAGCAATATCCATTAGGTGGTTCACCAACCTTGTGAAAATCGCTATCGACTCCAATCAACACGAACATGGCACTGTTTTCAATGCCACGCTAATAATCCGGCGCTATATGCTGAAATTATGCCGAGTCCATGTAGCTAGCGAGCTCTATGTTGGGAGAAAATTATTTGTAGCTGTCAATGAATAACAAATAAAATTAGAAAATGGTACAGTACAAACATACTAATGGCGACAACGGTTATTATAATATACCTTACGTAGACCCGTACGTTTTTTCTTTCGCCGTAAATTGTCGCTGGGTACAAAGTGCATCCATTTTCTTCTGTCAGTATCCTTCAAATTCTATTAGTAGACGTGTAAAATGAATACCAATGGCGACAACGATTGATTGTGACATCAGGCAAGTAAGTATATTGTTTGTTCCATAAAATAGATATGAAACATTAGGACGAAATTATCACAATTGCACGCATAGTTAATAATAAATCGATTAAATTTGCATAGCCTTATTCAACGATTCATTCTATATGCCAATACGAACAGTAATACTAGTAGTATACGGTACGGTATTGATATAGTTAATACTCAATCACTAAATCAAATACGATAATAAAATGGCAGTAAATGCTTACATGGACTCTCGTTAAGACGCTTCAAAGATAAAAAGTCTCAGATCTGTGAATCAAAAATGAGACCTAGAAGGTTTACGCGTATTCGTTTATAATCCATATTAACGAATAGAATCTTCTTTCATCGATTTTCAACGACTACTATAACAAACAGACTGGTATGTGAATAGCACTTTTTCGTAACTTTGTTTGCATTCGGTTAATGGTTCGTAAAAGATACCTCAATACGCCCGCTTGCAAGACATTTTTTATAAAAGTCTGTTACTTGATGTATAATTGAATTGCTCCAAGTTCTTTAGCTTGCAATACAGAGGGTGGGTTTGAGCTCATTTTCATACGGTCACTCGCTCCTGCCATTTTTGTAGGTTACCCGATCTTTATTGTACAATATGAAATTCTTCCCGCTGGTTCTCATAACTCTATAGACCATGGGAAAAGTTTCTTCGGAATACAAGCCGTCAACCGAGGATGTTGGAAAAAGGTAACTCGCACATACTTAAACGTCTACTGAATCTGTTGCTTATTATTATGTTACCCGGACGCCAATTTTATTATATACGACATGTTGATGTTAAATATACAAGTATCGCTCACCATGGTACTTATTGGTTTGTTACACAAGATACTTGTAAAGTACCAAGGTACAGCGTTTATGCCTTTGATTAGTATGTCCCCCATACACATTCCTAAAACCCCTCGACTTCTTCGGCAGCCGGCTCATAATAATAATGCTCTCCTTCAAATATCTACAAGAAACCATCTTTTCTTGTTGGATTAATCAATGTAATGTTATGTTAGTATCATCTAATCTCTCACCAACTCATCATCCAAACATTCGGGTGCGCCCCCGACAAGTCCCCTTCCCCCATCAATTTCATCCCACGCCTTTTTTTACCAATCGGAAACTGTACACAAGAGGTTCACCTGCAGCAGTCAACTGTAAGTAATCGTTAGAGCATACTCATTTCCGGATATATCCCCATTCATTATTATATCGTAAGACTTCATATTATTCAGTAGACATTTGATAAATGTGCAGTGTCAAAAAAAGACTCTGAGTCTACTAAGTTGCAACGCCGAGTCTTCTTGGTTGACAGTACGTACTGCAGTACTTTTTGTAACAACTTTTCTGTGCAAACAAACGTCTCTTTGAGGAACATTCCCGAGTACAATTTTGTCGTCACATCGCGTGTGGCTTGCATGCACTAATACTAATTCGTAACGAGTGGGCATTGATAATCATAACAGGAATTACCATTGTGAAATAGAGACACTGTGATTGGATCCTTTTTCTTCTGGGTACATTGATATACTACAGCGGGGGGAGGGTATAAGTAGAGTACTACGCAAAGTACAATATTAATAATAACAACTAAAATTTATAGGTTTTAGTATACAGTTGTAATGTATTTTCGTCATTTTAATGAATAAACAGTCCCAACTGAAAGTCGGTTACCGCTTGAATACAATTAATTGCAAATATGCTAGCATACACAAGTTATCGGCGTAGCCCGAAATATCTACAAATTAAATATATTGTCCGTGGTGCTAACGTTGACAATTACGGAAGAGAAGAACGCATTGTCGTAGAGGAGGAGAAGCTACGATTTGTTCAAACATACGGTATGGGCATTAATTATTAGCAACTTAATACTTATAGCGTAATGTTGTTCTTTATTTAGTCACGCTTGAAAGATAGAGTATTTTGTCTAGGTAATATGTATGAACAAGGTTTTTGTTCTTGACTATATAGATGGCACATATGTCTGCCCCTGTAAATATATCCGATTACGTTAATCCGTACGTTCTTGTAAGTGTAATTAAAGAACCAAAGTCTCAAAAAAGCAACCACGAGTTTGACTACTTCATAATACTACTTTTTTTTATGGTTGATCGAACATTTGCGACTTAGTAATTGCTACTGTAAAAAAGGCTAATCCTCATGCCGTACAGATAAACTTTCGCCTAATAACTCGGTTCAAATTGTCTACTACTGCCATCGAACCACAAATTGTTGACGTAGCCATAATTATCGTACGGAAGTAAATATACTGGATCCATTTCTATGTAATTTGGTTCGTCAAAATAGACCAATCCTTCTGGGGGCAATTCCACCTCCACCTTTACGTCTTCACCCATTTCGCAAGTGGGGCTTTCCACTTCCACTTTTACGTCCTCCTCCTTATTATCATTCTTCACATCATCGTTCTCTTGCCACTCTCTAAACCCATCAAAGAAAATAAATCCCCCGCCCCCTTCGCTTTTGCATTTGTTTTGCTTCTTCGTCTTCTTCTCCCGAGGCTCGTATTTATAATTGGGATACTTCTTCCGATGTACTATTCTCGCCAATTCGGCAAGTATCTTGAAGAACTGCTTAACACGCGGCTCTTCGTTCTCCCAGCGTGTCTTTGCTTCTTTTGAATAAATCTTTAACGTATCCCTTGTACGACGGGAGCGCCGCACGGCTTTGTTGTTCGGTTTAGTTATAGACGATGCTGCTTCTTCCTCTTCCTCCTGTTTTATCGGCGCTTCTTCTTCCAATTTCTTGGCTGCATCTAGGTTCCTTCTATACATGATCCATTCGTTATTGGATCGTGGTATGCGATTAGAGTTTCTCTGTCGACGTGAGCGCCGCGTTGGGTCTATGAGCTCCTGAAGCGGAAGTGCCAGCCTCAGTGGAGGGTTGTGAAGAAGGTACTGTATTTCGTCGGAGAGAATATTTTTTTCCGTAATAAACAAGTGAGTTTGTTCATCAAACAGTTTGGATGACATTTTAATAGAGTATAAATTAGAGAAGTACAGGGGAAAGTATTTGTGTTTGCTAATAGGTTCTATCGCAAGAGGGATAGTTTTTTTTGTTTGATATTTCTCTCACCGATCCGATATCGTTGCCTTTATATACGCATCGGATTACGTCTCCCATTGACATTATGATCAAATCTGATCTGTTACACTTATAACCATTAATTCCTAAAATTAGGCTAATTACTTTGGCATTATAATCATATATCGCTATTGTTATAGCATTGTCGGAGCAACCTTGCGTATATCCCTATCGTTACATTCTTAGTTTATAAGAGCAGACAAAGACAAACAGTTGAAAAATATTGTATCCTGTGTAAATATTTATGTTTACTGGGGTTCAATTTTTTAGTCTCGAGCATGAGTGTGTGTTTCAGAAACCTGTAACAAAGGCAATAGCGCCATAAATATTGCAATAAAGAATAATACCATACGGACAAACGCATTATTATTGTTCTTGAGCTTTCTATTATTAGAACGGATATTCAACCCTATAATATCAGTTATCCCATCCTATATAGTCACAACCTCCTTATAGTCACGCGCTTTTTTGGAGCAGTCACACTCCTCTATCATCACTGACTTAGAGCGTGACTATAAGGGGGGAGGCTACGGTCTCGTGACTTCCGGGAGTTCTGAAATTAAAATTACTTGTGGCACACAAAACTTTTGATGATTACGTCATACATAAAATATTGATTCTTTGTTAAGCCATTGGAACTAATCAGTCTAAAGTTGTCACTCGCTGCACTTGCTGTCTCGAGCTATCATCAAGTCACGCCATCAACAAAGAACTTGACAATCTGTTAGGCATAAAAATAGTATATTATTTATTTTTATTTATTTATTATTTATTTATTTATAATTTGCTTAAATGGATCCCCTGAGGTTAAGGTACCACAACATACATATCCGTGGGTATAAATCACGGGACAGCAAAAAAATTTGTAACCTGTTTAAGTTTAATTATTATCATGCAAGTAATTACTCCCTGAAATGTCTTTATCATTATTGGTGCAACTGTATTCGCAATCTAGAATAAATCCATCGATAACGCCATTTTTAATCACGTATTTCCACATGCAGTCGGTCTGTGTCATAAGTAATCGACAAAATTAAACGGTGTAATAACGGGTAGAGTTTACAGTAAAAAAGCTATCGCTAAAGCGTAATACTAAAAGCTAATACTAAAACCGTTTACTAGTGCAAACAAAGTTATAAATTATGCTGTACGCAAAACTGCACGAAATGACTATATAAACTCAACATATATCCCGAATATACCATGTATGTATGCCTGAGCTATACACCGGGTATACACGTGGTAAACTCAAATACGTTTCGATGTTTAATATCTTTTGATCTGTGCACGCTATTCTTTGTCTCCGTAAAGCATGGTAATTTTGTTTCTTATTATAGTCAGATAGGCATTGCTATTTCTGCTGACATACGCAAATTAGATGTGACTCCATTAAATCTTTAATAGCCTTTACCTGTAAAATTAGCCATACTACCGAACTTGCAGATTATCTAAACAAAAGTCTCTATGCATAAAATATAGGTAGGCACATGTAACAATTGTTGGACAACGCGATAAACGGCCATCGAATTAGCCCTTGCATAATTTATTCTTGTTGACCCAAACTGCTCACAAACGAATCTTATGTCGGAGATCATTCTGTGTGATGGCATGACAGGGTGCATAAAACTTTGTCCGTGAGATAATAATCACGTTCAATATAAATTCAGTCTATCAGGCGTAGAATAAGTATCTGGTGATCAACAGCCTTCTTACACTGCATGAATGTATTCTATTCCGGCATATTTGGCCTTGTTGGCCAAAATTAGACAATGAACTTTGCAATTGACACGAAAAGAAGTTTAGTATTTGGCGCTTATTAAGAAGGCGTGTTTTGTTACACGTTTAGTGTATTGGCTTGACTTTGTCATATTCATAGTTTTCCTTATGTTAGATATGTACAAAAAAATTTTCGATACTTGGTCTTACCAAATAAGTGTACGGGGTTATTCAGTTGCAATACGATTATCAGAAAGAATGTTAGACGCAGCATACAGCAAAAGTGGCCGAAATTATTATACTATATTCGCGGAATTTCCTACGTAGTAATAATAGTACTAATACTTGTAATTTTATAGAACCCAAATATAGCTTAATTGCCGACTTTTTTATCAACTTTTTGTAGCAAAATATCTTTATGCTCTTGTTACTATCATTACATCACAGATGTCTCGCGTTTAAGCCATTTACCAAGTTTTTGAGCGCAAACAAGCATTACGCCTTTTAATACTTTTGACCTTAAACTTGTGTGGGGTACTAAAACGTTTGTCGATGCTATGCAAAAATAGAGCTGATTAATCGTTCGCAACGTTTCAGGAATGAATTTTATTTCGCCGTTCTCGATAAACTATTTTTTGAAAAATCCAACCAAACAAAATGAGCCACAAACGACAGCGATAATACTGTACGTTTACGTCTCGGTAGGAATGTCGGGAGCCAACTCGGGTTCGCAGGAGACAAGCACTATCTCAACGCACGATTTAAAGTTGGATTTTCATACATTCAACGAATAGATATGAAAGCATTCGTGTGAAGCAGTGACGTAAAAACTTTGCCAAAGTCGATAACTTTATCAACACTGACCCTCATATTTACTACCACAGAAAATGGCTAGTCAAGTAAGTGTTTCCCGTATAAGCTTTATGCAAATAGTATAGTGCCAAAAGTATTTTCAAACGCTATGGACAAAAAATGTTCAGATGTCATGTTTTACTATAACAATGCTACTCTACATAAGTCAGCAAGTATCCTCAAAAGTAACAGATAACACTCCTTTTAATAATGTAGGGTTATTCAGACAGACTATCTCAAAAGTTGACTATGAAAGTTCTTCCAGAGTTGGCAGGATTGTCTGCAAAATTGCACATATGTATGGGGGCTACTTTGAGGAAATCAAATAGTTTTTTAAATAGTTGTATTTAGAATCATCAAAATAAAGAATTGAGAACAAATCTTTTCAGCACTTCCACGTATTCTAGAGTAAACTTGCCGTTCCAAACAAAGTATGCATAGGTTCGATAACATAAGTCACAAATTAGTTGTTAGTTATTGTATGCAAAACTGTACCAGTATTCCAAACCCAAAAGTATAATGGATAAGAGACGACCGCTGAGACATGTATTTGACCGATTTTCAGTATACAAACTGATACTAAAACTCTAAAAAGCCGTTAGCTTTATTAAAAGCTCCAAATCCCTTAATATTAAGACGACGGGCCATTCTTATTATTATTGTAGTCCTGTAAAGTATTACGCTTTAACTACTTTTGAACGCGTTCGCCCTTGCAATTATTCACAGTTTTGTTAATTAAGGTGTTCGTCCAACTTCCATAGATTATGAACATAATTTAAAATTACAATATCATTTTCGAAATAGTCAGACGCGTCGAAAGTCTATATTAGTAATATACAGTAGACAAATGTGAAACGCCTTTGTAAGTTCATCAAAGTGAGACAGCATGGAAATTTTTTGTGCTACTATATGTTACAACCCCTTGTCTCAAGAATTTATAATTTCGTCCATTCCTATTTGAAATTCTCAAACAAATTCCGAACCAAAAGCATATGGTGTGCAAACATCACCCCGAAGGTTATAATTACAACCTGTTTATCAGAAATATAGACCAGTTTGTCTGGAACAATTCCATTATTGAGACCATGAATTGGAATTTACACAAAAATCCCTTGTCAATCGAATAGGAATTTTTTTATTTTTGGAAGTCATTGTCTGCCGTATTACTGTTGTACCTCAGTTGGAGTTCTGGACCGATTCTGGACCAAGCGTCTGGGTTTGGAACTGAGACAATTGAGTTCTAGACTGATTGAGGTTCTGAACTGAGACAGGTCCCCAACTCAGACACAACATTTTTACTATGCACGGAACAATACTGTTTGAATGTACGTGTCGAAAACAATGATGGAAGTACATTATTTCTATAAAGCCGCAGTTCAGCGAAGTCACAGTATATATGGGGCATGCTGCAACAAAACCAGACAAAGACTATGTGAGTTAAAATGGTTGGTGTGGCCGAAAAATTAGCCAGTGACTGATAACAGTTTTGCTTTAGTGGCAAAACTGTGGTTAAGACATAAATTTGGAGACTATCTTATAGCAAATACGACTGAAATTTAACTTTATTTTAATTAAAACTGCACAGATAATTATGAAAAATTAGGATTATATCTATATAAAAATATTAATATGAAACTCATTTACATTAATTCACCATGGAACCAAAGAATTACAGTACAATTAGAAGTATTTTAAAGAAAGCTCAAGGAGAAAAAATTGCTACATATATTTTTAAAATCAATGATACCAAAATCCTCGAGAAATATCTAGATAAACTTATGAAATCTATCAAGAAGAACGAAAAATAAAAAAATATATTAACAACAACTTATGATGAACCAAGAAAGAAACGGAAATATAAAGCAAAGAATTTAAATAATTATTTTCTTTTTATCAGGAGTATTATTTGACGAATAGCAAGAGCAATATTAGTATCAGAATTCTATATTCTAATCTCATATAATTTACTTATTTTTTTGAAAAATAAAAGTCTGAAATTTTTCCTTAGCTTTTTCTTTCTGTTTTTTAGGTAAAGCTGGTAATTCTTTGGTTGCTAAATAATCTCTTCTGCCTATTTCTTGATCTTTATTTAACAAACTGTTTTCTAATCACTTTATTCGATCTATAAGCCTGCCTATTTCAGCATTGTGCTTTAACACTGTTTCAGGCATTTGGCGCTTTCTTCGCCTCACAGCTGCATTCCAGTGCTTTCTCGCTCAATTTCCACTTCATTTTTTAACTTGCTTCTAATTCTTCTTTTTCTCAGTAAGTAAAACTAAAACTTTTTGTGCTTCCTTACCGAAACTTTTAACAGTATTTTCCGGAGTAAATCCCTCATTAAAAATAACTTTTCCAATTTCAAGTCCATTCTTTTCTGGGTAGCTTACTCAACCCTTGTCAGGTCAAGTAAATCTTTCTAAAGTTCTTAAAGTAGTACCAGTATATTCTGAACTTTCAGTAAGGCTGTGAACAGCATTTCAAATTCTTAGTTTAAAGTTCTCTTCTTTATCTGCTAATTGTTTCTTTAACTTTTCATTTTCTTCTAATGATTCTTTATTTCTCTGTTCGAGTTCTGTTATTATTATGTTTGCCATGCTTTTCTTTTTTATTTTTAATGCACTTATACCCTTTTTATGAGAGTATATTAAGTATATAATTATTTTAATATTTCTTTTTATTTAAGTTTTAAAAATTAAAAGCGGGAAAGCTAGCAATATTCACTGAAAAATTAGATAAAGAACTTAATGACAACGAGAAAATTAACGAGCATTGAAATGATGGAGAGGATTTTAGTCTAAATTGCCAGTATAGGTTGGTCTTTGACAAGTAATATCCTTGAATTCATCTCTAACAAATGGGCGGGTATTATGATAAAGATATTCTTACCTTTTACAATCCAAAGGAGGAGGAGTTAGTACGAGGATGGAAAAGAATTTAATTTCTTAGTAATTTCAGAAACACTTGCTTTTCTAGTTTTTAACAAATTAAATTTAGTATAAGCACCATTAGCAATCAGCTGAGCTTTGACAACTCCAGGTTGAGCTGCTTCAAATAGAAAATGCTGATATTTTTGTAAACCATTCAATTTCTTAAAGAAAATTCCCAACACAGAATTAAGATCTAAGTATTGAAAGCCTTTTCCATTGTCGTAGCACTGAGCTTTGTTTAATCCTGCTGTACTTGATTTTTTCATAACGATCCACGCAATCTACTGTTGTCTTTCTATAGAGTTTTTTAATCAATCCATCACACTTGAATTTAGTATGTCCGGGTACCATGAAATTCAATGGTTTCATAATAACCACAAATTATTAAATACAGGTAAAATCAAATGGTAGCATTATTTTTATTCTGACCACCCGCGTTATCGCAGGTTTAAATTTTTTTCGCCTTTATTCAATCTCTTAATTCCATCGAATACCATGCTCAGCGTTTGCCATTAGGACCTTTGCCGATAACATCAAGAACGTAATTAATTTGTTCGCGTACTGCTTTATCTTGAATACTTGTTGGTCGAATGGGGCACGTAAACGTTTTGCGCTCAATCGTAACTGTAACAATAATTAGCTTTACCTCTTGTTATAAAATGCTCATCTACCAATTTCCTCTGCTGTTCTGCTAATTTCGTATTTTTGTTGTGATAATTTCTCTCTAATTTAACCTTAACTAAATGTTCTTTGAATTTTTTCAGTAAGTCTCTCGCTTCTTCTTTCTTACGAGCATTATACTGTAAGCCACTCCGAAAATGTTGGCACGTGTCACATAAATCCGTTCGTGGACTCATAATTTGAATATAAGGTGTTAATTGGTACCATAACTTGCGGAATGCATCATATTTTAACAATTCTAAACTGCTATCGTTTTTGATACCTGCAATAAAATTACGATAAACCGATTTGTAACTCGTTTTAGCTGGTAAAAGCGTAAGCAATTGAGTAATGCGATTAACATTTCTACCAGGACTTGGTAACCCATGAATTTCAGCATGGTTTTCGAGAAAATTTTTTACGGCGATAGCAACGGTTATATCAACGGCACTTTTTTTACATTACCATGAACGCGCGGTATTATACCATTCGTCGCTAGGTAATTTCTGACGTTTTCGAAATGGGTACGACCAATTCCTAACATATTTTGATACGTTTTCTGACAAAGAGGCGCATTGCAATCTCAGTAGTAAAACGTTCTTTATTAGTACGCGCTTTCTTTTTAAGACGTCGGCTGGTAGTTATTTCTCCACCATTCATTGCTTTCAGCTGGGCCATTAAAAATATACCTTGTTCGGATCTAGAGAGAGCTTGGAACGCCTCACGTAATTCGGCAAACCTTTCTCTCGGCACCTTTTCTGAGCAACCACATTTGCAACCTAATTCCAAGAAACGTATAGCTTTTTCATATTCAGTCGAACCATTATAATTGTAATTTTCCATATACGGGTAATCCTATATATTAGTTTTATCAAGTTTATATTTTATACTCTTTTATTAAAGCCCTATATATATTGTATATATTTTTCTTATCACTTTGTATTAATTCAGTATTTTTGAGCCTCCAAGAAATGTATGGTCTGAAATTTTATTATTGTTTTTATGCTAATTACGTCAGAGAATTGACTTGTCATTAAACAATTTTAGCACCATATATTTACTTTGGTATAAAGTCATTAATGTAACAAAAGACAATCTCTCTCATCTGCATTGCACGATATCTTACCATGTCGCTTATCTCGACGAAAGCATCGTTATGGTAACGGTGAAGAAAGTAGAAAGGTTTTATGTATTCCGCCCTCTCTAAGACAATTGGATATGTTATGTCACGTGATACAAGAATCGGCGGCGGGCTGCGACGTAGGAGTAAGTCCACTTATTTTAATTGATTGGCACATGGTTAATGGTTACTATTACTATTAAGCATGCTTTTTATTGGCTAGAAGGGCAGCGATGTTAGCACTTGTATCACATGAGTGCTAGGGAGAGTTCTCGCGTAGTACTAGCCTCGCGCCTTTCGTTGACAGGTATCGTTTACGCGAAAGAACGGTCGCTTCCTGAATTTACCTGCTTCTACTCCTGTCTTTGTCCTTTCAACTCTGTTGCCTGTGTTTTCTCGCAATTTTTGTGTCCACGGTATCAACGCGCCTATTGCATTTTTCGTGCCTCTGCCTGTTCTGTTCGGTACGTCTCACACCCTGTTACTAATTTCGACGTTCTCTACGATCATGATCTCCTCCCACACTCGAACTGTTATCAATTAGCATTTTTCATACGCTCATATTTTTTCCAGTATCTTCACAGTTACTTTAGAAGGCATCATACATTATCCAATACCTGAAATGCAGCTTTCTCCTGAATGTCGCAACTCCATAAACTTTTCAGGTGACTGTTGTTTTTCTTCCGATCAGTTTATAGGCTGTTGGTTTTAACTTCTAAATTCAAAATATAGATTTTTGGGAAAGTATCGATGAGCCGTCTCTACAAAAATTTTTGGTTTTTCGCCTTTCTGCTGGTGATTTGAATGATGAGTCTGAAGAACATCACCGATACATTACTGAACTGAAAACCATCAAGAAATATTATGCTGAAGCCTCTGAAATGGGTAGAAATATTTCTAAATGGATAAATCGGTTTAAGGTAAATGTTTATTTAAGTGCTTTGGGCCGTCGTTACAACCTGAGTACACTGACTACCCTGCAGAGTGCGTCTTTGTAGTGGGAATCGGTGCGTCCTCTCTGGGAATCGGACGTCTCATTACGTCTTTGAAAAAGTGCAAATAGTGCAATTGCAATTTGATATGAAGGTAAATGGATGCATTCTTGAATACGTTCAAGATCACGGTCCACTCGTTCGAGTAAGAAACCAGTTCAGACTGAGAATCAATCGCTCTGGACTGAGGGCTATTTTCTATATACGAATGGTAAGTATATCTTCGCTTCGCATGCATTTTTGCATGTTCGAAATGGCAATAACTAAGTTAAAATGTTATTAATACCTACTTGGCAAAATTTCAAGGGCTAGAATTTAACGCATACTACACAGTCAGCCTCGATAAGCCGGCCAACAGGAGCTGGTTCTGGATGGCCGGCTTATCGAGGCGACCGGTTTATTGAGACCCACGGGATACAAGATATTTAATTACACAATTTAAATTAAATTATTATTGTACATGATACTGCTCTAATCGTATGATCTAATGATATAATGCTGCTCTAATCATATAATTATAATGTAGTGACATGTATCTTGGATTAATCGTATGACTGTAGCGCTTTGATTGTTGATTGCAATACATTTTAGTGATTTGATTTATATATCGGTTCGGATTATACGATTTAATAACGATATATATATAACATGTTTATTTTAAACGAATGATAATTGCCGTACAAGTTGTGATCAACCAGTTAAATTTGACAAACACTGTCACATATTAAAAAATCACGTGGACCGGCTTATCGAGGTACATTCAACTAAGACCCGGCTGGAGCTGTTGGCCGGCTTACAGCTTATCGAGGCTGACTGTGTATTACTATTACGGCGTATTGATTAACATTAACAACTCATTGCCTCTACTCTCTTTGAAATCTTAGTTCCACGAAATCAGAAACCATTATCTTCCAGTGACTCTTAACTAGAATTAAAATAAGCAGCCTAAGAGCTCAATAGACGCATAAGTAAAGACAGGCACATTGTTTTGGTGTTATTTCCAGATATATTTTATTTTAGCACGAAAGACAAATATTTATGATGATATCACAAGATATATCCCTTGTGCCATTTAAATGAGCCAAAAGCAAAAGACATTGTTAAAGAATTTGTGGTTGAAAGATTTTCATTCAAGATATGATAAGGTAAGTATTACCATATTTTTTTCTTTACTCAAATCGCATTTATTTTATTTCAATAAACACACATATTAATATGCGTGAAGCTTACAACGAAAATAGCAACAATCGCCATAATTGTCGATTAAAAAGCATTGATCGATTAAGCATTATAGAGCAAGATTTGTAATTGACCCACACCAACGAAAATCATATAGTCTAGTGACCTATAATAAAGGCCACATATAATCTCATATATCTTCTGCTTAATTTGTTTTCATCGTGATTGATTGATTGATGATCAAGCAATTATGGCTGAGACGTTCAGAATATTCGATCTTCCTACACTTGAAATATGTTTCATCTCACGACACAGACCTGGCTATCTGGAGAAGAGTTGTTAAACGTAAAACCCAAATTGTAAAAACGATTGTGGCATGGTAAGTCGTAGGGTAAGTAAGCTGTTATAATATGGTATTGTTCAAGACTATGCAATACTAACGGAAATGTCAAAATATCAACATGGTTAGAGTATTGTTACGAGTATTAGTATGTAACCCTTTGCTTATAACTGCGCGCTAATGTTTATTATTTAATGGTTATTTTTACCTTTCTAAACAAGTGTTTAATTATCGATACAACAGTATAACAGGCTGTATAATATTGTAAATGTCAACAAACGAACAATTAATACGAACAATTATCGGAAGCCGACAATAGCAATTGTAATAAGTATCAGATAATAGTATTGTTTATTACAGTCTTAATTGTATGACTACTGTACTGAATATGTGCGGTTAACGTTTGTCATAATAATATATCAGCGTAAGTATGGTTCATTCGTTGACTTAGTATAAAGCGTATTCAGAAAAAAGTTGGATACTATGGAAAGTAAGCATTTCCAACTGGTGTAAAAATGATTGATTATGAGCAATATCTTTATCCTATTGTATGTTGTCCTTGCTATCACGCGTACGTGACATCATTATTAAATTACGACAATTAAGTCTTTCGCCAAACACAGTTTGTAGCAGTCGCTGTTATTATTATGTTTGAATACGTAAGGCAAAAAGTATTCTCTACGTTACGATGGTTATGTAACATGTTTTGAGATTTACGCACCTTGCAATTGCATTATTAGCGTACTCATCGATGTCAAGCTCCAAAATAAGATTTTCTTTTATATTTGCTTGCAAACACGGAATGTATCAATGCAGTACCGGCGAAACGCTGTCACCTCACGCAATTACTCTCGATAGTATACTCCAGTTCTGCAAAAGTTTGGCTTCTCTGATACGACTTTGTTCTGATTCTGCCACAAGTCAGATATTTTCTTATCTTGACAAATCATTCGTATTCCATATCAATAGTAGTTTTATCTAAGCATGTTTTCTTCAAAATAAATTTCGCCAGAAAAAATCCCGATCATATGGCATCGTCAATACATTAGCGTAATGGCGCTTAAGTGTTTAAACGAATAATTAATTGATTGGATATGAGCCATGCGATGAAATTTTGAGTAAAGCTATTTTTTACACAAAGTGTCAATGCGTTGTTGTGTCGCGTCATGTGTCGATTTTGCAGCGGAGTTTCTTTTTCGCATACTCCTGATTCGCGTCATATGACTGATGCGGATGAAACCAATTCCATTTGCAATTATTGTAACACGCATTGGATGTCTCGCTCGTTCACTCGTAGCATTCAAACTGTTTATCGAGTTCTCATGGTAATCATGGTAACGTGCTGTTCCGATTACTCATAGACAGAATCCTTTTCGTATTCATATTAACATAGTGATAGTTTTCCGCAGTGACCCAGGATCACGTCGCTAAGAAATTGTGGGTTCACAATCCATATTAATTTGTAATTTGCATGTGATCGGTGGAGATTCTATTTCAGAACCACAGAATGTGGCACGGCGAATTAACTTCTACAACTTATTTTGTGTAATGCTAAACAGAAGATAATAATAATGTGCAAAAATGTATATTGTCATACCCATCAAAAAAAAGCTGAGTCAGCTGTTTGGTGGATAAAATTGTTATTCTAAGCTTGGAAATAAAGCATTCCGTACAATTGAGTTTAGAAGATTTAATAAACAAGCCATCAAGGCGGATCCAAGCAATGGAACCGCTATTTATATTGACTCTCCCATTATGGGAGTGATCTTCGTTATATAAAAGAGGGAGAGAAAGAGCTTTATTGTTTAGTTCCTTGAATATATCCATAATATTTAGCACTGTCTCCTATAATCGAGTATTTATCCGCCGCTTCACCGCGTTATTCCGCTTTTCCCGTAATAATTTCATTATCACGGTTATTTAGGTTTATTTTTAAGTAAGTATTAGTATAGATTTTTTGATTTATTATTATGACCAATAATAAACATGTATTTCTGGACGGTATTATTCCAGCCGGATTATTCAAGAGTTTGCAGATCACGGCGGATAAATTGACATTCACCTACATAGAATTTACGCTAACTGGTTCTGTGGTGTGTTTCGCTGCATATTTATTATTTACACAGATTTACCACGACTGATAATCAATCATGATCACCCGTGACACATGTGACAATTCACTTCGTTAAAATAAATAACCTGTTAGATCATCGACACAAACAAAAACTCATCGGAGAAATATTTAAATATTTAAATATCTATCACTACACTCTCCAACCCATCCGAAGCAATAATGACAAAGTTGTACACAAACGAAGAAGTTGCTCAACACAACACTGAATCCTCGATGTGGATTATTGTCCACGACAAGGTTTATGATGTCACTAATTTCCTCAATGAACACCCTGGTGGCAAGAAAGTCTTGATCAAAGTAGCCGGTACCGATGCGTCGAAACAATTCGACAATTTCCACAACAAAAGCGTTCTGGAAAAGTACAGTCCCCAACTATATATCGGGGACATCGGCAGCTCTGCTCAAGAAGACGACGCAGTACATGGTTCGGATGAGGGTCCATTCGGTGATATGGTTCCATTTGGTGATCCTTATTGGTATCAGGACTTCTATAGCCCATACTACAATGATTCGCATCGAAGATTGAGAGCTATAGTAAGGAAGTTTACTGATACTGAGATTATGCCTTACTGCTTTGAATGGGATGAGGCAAAGAAAGTTCCAAAGGAATTGTTTGCAAAATTCGCCCAAGTTGGTTTATTACCTAGTGTCTGCGGTGCACCATGGCCAAAAGAGTATGTATGAGTGAAGATCGTATTCAATTAATCATTCCCTGGTCCATAAATCGAGAGAGTCATTCTAGAGAGAGAAAAAAGAAACAACGAAGCCATCAATCCCGCATACTTTTGAAATAATCTAAGATAGGGTGGCGTGTCTAATACACTGGCGCATTAGTAGTTTATCGACTCAAATTTTCCCAAAACTTTCGAATTTCATTGCCCATGAATATTTCGACATTGCCTCCTCTATACACAATAACATTCTATTGTCCATTATCATTTTTTCCCCCATATAGCTACACGGATATAGCTCCTGCCGCAGGTATCGCGCCTGAAGATTTTGATGGATTCCATGAATTGATTGTTTGCGATGAAGTCGGTCGATGCGGATCTGGTGGCTTACTGTGGGGTCTCATGGGTGGTAAGTGATAACAAAACGTTCAAATAGCGATGAGATTTATTATTCCATTACGAGTGATTTTCAATGACTGCTCCTAAACTATTCCAATATGCATTTTCTTATAAGGCCTTGGCATTGGTCTTCCACCGGTTCTGAAGTTTGCTCCCGAGGAACTGAAACAGCGCATTGCTCCAGACTGTTTAGCCGGACGCAAGTTCATCTGTCTTGCGATTACTGAACCCTACGCTGGTTCGGATGTCGCGAGCATCAAAACCGAGGCCAAACTTACCGATGACGGAAAACACTATATTGTCAACGGTGAGAAGAAATGGATCACCAACGGTGTCTTTGCTGACTACTTTACCACTGCAGTAAGGACAGGCGGTCCAGGCATGGGAGGTGTCAGTTTGTTGCTAATTGAGAGGACTATGCCCGGTGTCAAGACTAGGCAGATGCAGTGCACCGGTGTATGGAGTTCTGGAACAGCATACATTACGTTTGAAGATGTTAAGGTGCCAAAGGAAAATTTGGTCGGAAAAGAAAATGGCGGATTTAAGGTAAAGAATAGTTGAGGGATTGCCTGCTAGTTTCCGAGAAGATTTATAATAGATTTATTATTTCCGTTCAAAATCAGCTTTTTTGATTTTTGTTAACCCATTACCATCATCTCTTCCATTTCGTTTCGATCACACCAGTGTATAATGCATAACTTTAACCATGAGCGTATGGGTCTTGCAATGCAAGCAAGCAGATTTGCTCGTGTATGTTATGAGGAATCACTAAAATACGCCAGCAAACGGCGCACGTTTGGCAAAAAGCTCATCGAACACCCAGTGATCCGCAACAAACTTGCACACATGGTTAGGCAGATCGAAGCTACACATGCGTTAATGGAGTCTTTGATTTATCAGACGAATAGGCTGCATGGAACGGAGGCTGCAAACAGATTGGGTGGCCCGATCGCTTTGTTAAAGGCGCAAGCAACGCAGACATTCGAGTATTGCGCACGAGAAGCAGCCCAAATTTTTGGTGGATTGTCGTATTCGCGTGGAGGGTATGTTTATGAAGGAAGAGAGATAGAGGTTTCGTTAGCAATAAGAGAGATGGCAAATGCATACACGTAGCACTCTCAAAGATTGTTTTCATGGTGTTTGATGGTGTTTGATGCTATTTGATGGTGTTTGATGGTGTTTGATGGTGTTTAGATCAACTCTATTAATTCACTTTTTGAAAAAAAATTTTCAATTTTTTTTTTCATTTACAGACAAGGCGAAAAAGTCGAAAGACTCTACAGAGAAGTCCGTGCATATGCAATTCCTGGTGGTTCTGAAGAAATCATGCTTGATCTTGGTATCAGACAGTCAGTCAAGGTTGCTCAGCTTTATGGAGCTAAGCTATGAACAGAATGTAACCTTGTAAGAGGAACTCATATATGCAACTATCGAAATTTTTATTCTACAGTGATTTCTGCCTGAATCGAATAAGTGATGTATGTCTCTCTTCTAAGATTATGCGTAAATCTTTTCTGGTTACGAATTTATTGTCCCAAAGAGCTTAGTAATAGATCATGTGTCCTTAAAGGGGTTTACAATTTTGGTATAGTAAATAAACCGTTAAAGTCTTCCTTTTTTTTACTACTTGCTGGTAACTAAACTGCAAACGAATGGGGAAAGAAGATTCTCTCTCGACCGTAAATAAAGGCGATGGAATGCATTCGTAAAATTCTTATAAACAAATCGATCCGATATCTCAATTAATGTCCAAGTCTTTCTCCATCCTTATTAACCATCCAAGGTCACGGCACAACCTTAATCCCCATGCCATTGGCAGTACTAATCACTGCCCGACACATACCCCTCAAGCTAATTCTCTCCAGCCCAACCTGTTCCTTCTTTATCTTTGCGATTTCATAAATATGCTTCAAGCTAACTTTCCCTACAATTTCGCTCCCGGGTTTTGCTGCTCCTTTTTCTATCCCAGCAGCTTGTTTCAATAACCATGTTGTCGGAGGGAGTTTTGTTATGAACGAGACGGTTCGATCGGGTTTTACCGTTATTGATGTGGGAATGGGTGTGTCGGGAATGAAGTGTTTTGTGCGTTCGTTGAATGCCCTACAAAAGTCGATGGCCTTTACACCGCGTTGACCGAGAGCTGGACCCAGCGGCGGGGTTGGAGCGGCTTTGGCTGCTGATAGGAGGATGCGGATTTGTGATTGGGATGCTTGTCTAGTCGATTTAGACATGGGGGAAAGATAGTAATAGTTGATCTTTTTTGATTAAATTCGTCGATCTCGTAAATTACCCAGATTTATTACGTAAAACAATGCGATAACAGACTATGTGAATAAAGTGTTGATTAGATGTTGATTATTGGCGGGATATCTAGACAAAGTGTATTGGGTCGAAACATTTTATAATATTGTCTTCATATATGGTTTATACACAAACTTTCTCGATGTCAGCAATTTATCCTAATGCTGACATCAATGCAGACGATACTCCAATCCATAAATCACGTCAGTAAGGAAATATAACAAGTATTCCGTAAAGTTAACCTTTACAGGTGCATTCATCTTTAATGCTCAGTGAGTTGACAAAGAATAAACTTCTTGACTAAGATGCAGTAAGACCTGTTGTCAGTTTTATAGGTAGATAACATCTAAAGAAATTCCCCTTGTTGATTACTTAGGCACATTTACCTGCTTTCATGGATAGTTTATGGCTTAAATTGATGTGTTGGTTTGTGACGTTAACAATGTTGTATACAAGAAATCAAACTATTATCACAGTCCTGTACCGCATACTTTGACGCGTTAGTAGCTTATCGACTCAAATTTCCCCGAATATGTCAAACGTTCATGAATTTTGAATATTTCGAATGCCTCCCTATAATACTTTATAACGTATCGAATTTGATGGAATCCATGAATTGATTGTTTGCGTTGAAGTTGGTCGATGCGTATATAGTGGCTTACTTTCCTCCCAATCAACGAGTTAATTAATAACGTAATCTAGAAATAATTATGCTATAAACGGCGACCGTTATCCTACTGTTGACTTGCGCTTGGATTCGGTAGCATGGTTTTAAGGTGAATGAGATGCGTGAAAAGACTACTGAAACTACCAAATAATTATATACATATTAAATAAAACAACGTTTATAAATACAGTCTCGCTTTAACATAAGCTTTTTGCAAAGTCTCTACATTTTTAAACACATCCTTCACTAATCGTAAAATCATGTGAAAGTTTTGTCTCAGCCAATAGTCGAGCTAAGGCTCTAACACGCTGACAAAAGAGGGACACGCCAACTTGAAATAAATGATACTATACATAGTAGACAGAATAATTTCAAATTCCAATTTGGGCTAGAACATATATATATTTCTTACTACTTTTCGTTGGCGGTAGGTGGCAGTTTTGGTGGTAATAATATATAATGACGCAGAGCGTGGAAGGAGGTTGCCCAACAGGACAGGCTCATTAACCACACTTGATCGACTAGATGCAAATAAAGTCTTGCTTAAGCAAGCTGCAAAAGTTTACAAATGGTATACTGAAAATACCGACCGGAACATTCCCCAAAGAAAATTGATCGATTGAAAAGCGCGGGAAACTTTTTCTTTTCTCCTACGGAAATGACTTGTTTTATATATAGTAATCGTTGTATTCTGTGCATTGACAGTTTCTGCACACCGGTTATCATTGGTCATTCTTGCAATGTAAATTGTAGATCAATCAGATGTTCTAAATTTTTTCATTCTTCGACTTGTTCTCGCAAGATGGATTATTCTATGCTGAACGAAGCTGAACGAGCACATATTCAACGTCTTATTGAGCAGAAACAAGTATGTATTATTAAAATAGAAGGTGATCTATGAAAACGGGCATTCATGACATATATTCCATTTTGTAAGTTTTTCCGTTTTCCTAAATCCACCGCTCCCTTCCACTCGCCTCCCAAATTAGAATAAAAGGATAGCCAGTTTTTGAACCTGGCCTTGCATTAATAATAGTAATCACGATCGAGTTTATTGATCAGGTGCAAATTCATCATATTCTCTAGATGCGCGATGTTATGAGATTCTACACTGGACTAGTGGAACGATGTTTCAACGACTGTGTGAACGATTTTACATCTAAAGTATTGAGCTCGAAAGAGGTGCGCAAAATGTCAATGATGCAAAAGGAGATTATGCTTGATACGGTTACGCTAATTATAGTAATTTGTCGAGTGATAACATATCGATCGCGTTCGTTCATCTTTATCCAACTGCCTATAGGAGACTTGTGTTCTTCGCTGCACCGAAAAGTTCATCAAATATAACGAGCGAGTTGGACAACGGTGGGCCGAAATGAACCAACAGTTGGCGCAAGCTCAGAACCTGCAGGGAACACCGTTTCCTAAATGAGAGAGAGATATAAGAATTGTATTTTATATACGAGTAAATAGAAATAATCTTGTGAATGTAATCTACTAATCTTGTGAATTTTAGACAGATGACGACACAATAATAAATAGCTCTAAACTACCCCCCCCTCCAATGCCAGATATTATTCATCAAATAAAAAACGCTTTCATTTTGCTCTTCAAAACCACGGGAACAAAGATCGCTGAGGCTTTTATTAAAGTATCGAAAATAAACAATATGATGTTTTCACCACGCAAAATTTCAGAAAATAATTAGTTATCCGAGTAAAGGTAAAAAAAAAGGTAGAAATGAATTTTTACACAAAATAATATAAAGAGTCTATGAAGAGAAGAAGCCATGTACCAAAACGTAACAAGATATATAAAAAAAAATATACATTAGATCAACATTGGCGTACGCCAAGCTGAACACTAAGAATTGATGTGACAAAAATGTTCGTATGCTTGTTCAAGAAAACAATGTGTTTTAAAAAAAACGTTAACTAATAAAGAAAACAAGTTTAATTAACAACCGCCATTTCTTTATATCCCGTTGCTCACCATTCACCGTTTACTCTCACTCACGACTGACATCCTCTTTGTATTGATTAATTTCTTTCCCATCAATCCATTCCCAGAATCAGTTAATATTACACTCTTTGGCCTAGTCCTACTTCCATTCACGTTGGCTGTCTGCCTCCTCTGTGGCTTGTTAGCATCCTTTCCCGGCGTGTGAGGTCTCACTGGTATAGATGACGCTCTTATTGGCTTCAGCGCACTATTACCTGATCCGACTTTCTTAAGGGCCGAAGCTATACTTCTAGGATCCGGCGTTACTGAAGTTGGTGTAGAGACGCTCGATATACTCGATGTCGAGGAATTCGACGAAACACTACTACTGCGTTTAGGCCGCCTGATCGCCGAGTTAGGATCTAAATACATCGACGAGCGTCGACTTTGCGATGGTGTATTATTTCCTGTCTCGTTGCCGTTGGGAATGGCCACGCTAGGTCTCCTACTTTGACGACCGCTCGGCGACGTTCCTCGTTGAGGTCTAGTACCATTCGTGTCTGCCTTAGCATCGATGTACATACTGCCACGACGGCTGGCACGAGTTGGAGAGGATGGACGTGATGTTGCTGGAGATACTGGGGCAGACGGACGAGTAATGTTTCTTGACCGGGCTTGCGCAGGTGTTTTATTTCCATGTTCGAAACCAAAGAACATCTTATTCACAACACGCTCGCTGATTTCTTCCTCCTATTTTTTTTTAATCGAGTAGATGAGATTGAACAACAAGTAAGGTGAAATTGCGACAACCATGAAGTAAAGATAGTTATGACTTACAAGACCCTCTAGGTATCGTTTGCCTTCGTGCATAAATGGCTTTCTCTCATCTATTGTTAGAAAAGAAAAGTCGTACCGTTAGAAATACCAAACAATAGATTTTGCCATGTTACAATTATTTTTCTAACTCACTTGTCTCATACTCCAAACAAGCATCGACGAGTCTTTTCTCAAGTCTAACCAAGTTGGGCCAACAGGTCTTTCTCCACTTCTCTTCTTCGAGCAATCTGAACGAAGATTGGAACAACCTCTTTGGATCCGACGCATGTTTTTCGAAATCTATCATTTTCTAATAAAACCAAATCCCATTCTTAGAGAAATTCTTTCGAATAAAATTGGAAAAGTAAAGCGATAATCTTACTTCGATCAGCGATTTCCTTTCGAGCATAAGGCGATATATTTCGGCACATTTTGCATAGAGTTCTTGCAATCTGGCAACTTCCGACGCAAGGACATGGTAAACTTCCTCACTCGATGAGACTGAATCATAGAAACGTTAGAATTAAGATGGTGGAGCGTGTGATCAAAAGGGGAAATCGAGATGTAAAAGAGAGAACTTTTATAATGTATAAATCTATTTCCAGACCAAATTACTTACTCTCGTGCAAGTTAACAATAAACTCGGCTCGCTCGCTCTGCGGAACAAGACATTTATCCCAGAGATCTTCCAACTGTGCTGTGTACTATTCGTTGATAAGAGAACAAGCGCGTTAGTGTCGACATTGTACTAGGGCTGTAAGACAGGTGTTCAATAAAGTGACTTACTTCTTCGATCGCCTTTTGAACGATCTCTCGCATAATTGCACGAAGTCGTTCGTGCTCTGCAGACAGCTGATAGTATAAACAAAGTTTAGCCAATTAAAACCAATTTCTACAATACATTCCCATTCGCGCTGTTTTTATAAACTCTTCTTTCCATTATTCTCATACACGAACCTCGTTCAAATACTCTTCCTCGACTGAATTCCTAACAATCACTCTTCGATCGTCCTCGGGTATACTCAATTCCTCCCACAAACCAGTGATAGTTTTAACCATCGCATCCCTTCTATCTCTTCTCTCGACATAATCTCGCTCGAAGAAGGTAACTTTGTTCTGTAATGCCTCCAATTGTTCGTCAGAGAGAAACAGGCCTGACGGAAGTGATGTGGAGTAATAAGTGTATGTCAGCATAGGCGGTGGTGTGTAGGGAGTGCTGAAATACGTGTAGCGTTCGGAAGGAGTGGAGGAAGAGGATGAAGATGACGTTGTAGAGATAGTGGATGTAGATAGTGAAGACGTAGATAGTGAAGACGCAGATAGTGAAGACGTAAAGGCCGATATTTGCGACGTAATTGCTGCTTTGGATGTTACTGGCAGTGTATACGAGTTGGCGGTATTGGCATTGATGTGATTAGGAGTGACGGAAATATCTCCGTTTTGAATATCATTCTTTACTAGCACTTGATCATCTTTCTCATTCGTTGTCCCGCTTGCTTGTTCGTCGGCATTACTGTTATTATTCAGAGCATCCATTAAGGAAGGCTTGTCCGCGAATAACTTTGCGAGAGCGTGATCTATGTCGTCGACAGGAGCGTACGAAAATGCTGTCCAATAAAAGTGAAGCTTTATAGCAGAATCTTCAAACGCATCACGGCGAGTTGACTTGTGATTAGAGAGAGAGAGGATATACAGTGAGCGACTTGGTCAGCATTTACCGCAATCAATCTATGAATACTTACTATCAAGCGATTTAATGCATCGTACTTGAACCAGATCTAACATGGTTGAAACATTGGAAACGATATTCAGTTAAATATTGTCAAATTTAAATCCTATATCGCATATATAGTAGACTCACCGGTTGGACTGCTGCAGTGCTTAGATCGTTTTCAAAGTTCTGTAATAGAGGTCGATTGTCAATGTTAATGAAAAAGTTGATTCTTGCAGTAGATTCTTGCAGTAGCTGTAAATTTCAATCTGATCAGGTGTGGCGTTCTCCGACGTCAGGTGATCTCTATCTCGTGCTTACTATTGCCCAACGTATACCCAAATGCCCTATTTCATTCTCTCATCTTGCATACCTCAATCGATAAATCCAATTCTGTAGTTCCTAGTTCCTTGACGATTTGCTTGATTCCCTCGATCCACACTTTCAAATTATTCCGTGTAACATTTATTTCCTAATTAAAAATTCACGTGAAAAAATTATTGCCATAGTAGGTAAGAAAGATATACAGATAATGACATATGCGAGACAAATGAATCTCCATCAACATCATGATTGGTAGCTTGATGGCCATATTAATATGACAACAGGCGAGCCCATCAAGCTATAAAACATCTTAGCGCTTGTGGATTCTAACCTCAGACAAACTGTCATGGAGAGATTGTAGTCTATCCCTTGTCTTGGCATTGAATGCAATCGGTAAACCTGCTGCTTCCAATACAGTGTTTTCTGCTTGGCGGCCGAAGAGATGAAACATCTCGTGTATTTTGAGCTGTGATGTTGGGATTCGAGATTTAATGTTGGTAATTAGAAAATTATTGTAGGCGAGAATGATAAAAAGCAATCACGAAACACGATGACTGCTGTATTGTGATAGATGACGCAAATATAAGCGCCATAATGTGATCTCAACTTAGATGCTATCGATAATTTCTATGTGTATATTCCCGTCATGATAAATGGCCTTACCAATAAATCTTCTATTTCCGCTCTGAGCCGCTCTTTCCACATCGAAGCTTCTCTGAGTGTGGCTTCAAGCTCACGTTCGACTCCCTATCATGTCAGTAAATTATGACCAGAATAAATCACTTGTTATTGCCGTTTCCGACACGCAACATGTAATGTAAGAGTCTGGGGATTCCTTCCCCCCATCTCATTCATACTTTCTCTCCCTCACCCTCGGTTGTATATGAGAAAGATATTCTCTAAACTCTATCTTCATACCTCCAGCTGCTTCTTTGCCCACTCGGACTGATTTCCATAGTCGTCACCCTCGTTTGCACGTCGAAACTCTTCCCATAGGGTTTCTAGTTTACTTAGTTTGAATATTATTTTATCCATGGGAGACGACTGGTTGCTCTATTCAGAAGACAGGAGGAAGTAAGGGTGGGAGGGTGGTATTGGAAATGTTGCGAGTGAATAGACAAGGGAGCCGGCGATAAGGTTAAGTTGAACGATATCGAAATAAGTAGCGATATTTTCTTGATTAGTCCAATGTTGGATTTATATATGTCAATATGTTTATTAATAGTTTTATTACACTTAATATGGATATTTTTCACGGAAGTATAATAATAAAAATATGCAATAGATTTTCTTCTCCTGCTTGCTAAGGTCACTTTTAAGACCAGTTCAAGTGAACTCAAGAGTAATTGAGGGAATAAATGTGGGAATGATCTTTATTAGAAAGAAATAGGCAGGGTTTTTGAAATCCATACAGGCTTTGAAAATATATATATAGAAATTTTGATGTGTGATAAAGAGCCGATAGCAAACTCACACAATACCAATAACATATTGTGATGTCATTGTAATCTCATTACAGAGACATAAAAATATTGTTAATATCGCTCTTTCTATTCGACAACCAGTCCCAATACCGACCACTCGTCCATTTGTCGCTTCCTACTGGTTGATTCGTATGTATGCATGTAGTGATTATTATTGTTCATTTGTAATTTCAAACGCTCACTCTTGGCCGCTGTGATTAGTCGAAAGAGAGATAACGTGTGTGCCAAATAGGGTCTGCATACATGTACGCCCACTATGAGGGATGGAAGAGGGTTAATAGACGTGTAAGGGAATGATGGATAAGTATAACAATAATCAATAATGTCAAGATTTAATAATCTATACCATCTCACTGCTCAATTGTTGATATCATTGTTGTCCTATATTCAGGCCCCGTTTCAGGACTGACCGTTTGTTTTGATTCATTTGTTTTAGATGATCATCCAATCATGTTAATGTAGGTATTAGTATGGAGTTGACCAAACCACCCGAAAGGGATCTGATTCCGAACACCGATAAAATAATTAAATATAATTATTATAATATAACAATAAAACGAAAAGAATCCATAAATAAATATTCCAATTACAGTAGTGATCGAAGTCTTAGGTCTTGCAGGGGCAAATGTTAATCGACAACAATGTCAATGTCAACAATATGCGCCAACAATACTTTTGCCCACCCCTGCCTGCTCGTATGACAATGAACAAAGAACCTGAATATTGGATAGTGGTTTGGAGAGTAGCAAACACGTCTTATATCAGCAATAAAACCTTGTCAACATCGATCGACATGTTACAAACTGTAAATTAAAGGAGTCCATCTAACGTTTACACGGTATCGAACTTTAAAATCGAGTGTGGTTTCAAAAGAGGGCCAAGACTGAGATCTGATGGAGAATCGCTTGCAGTCTGTTTTTGTGGGTAGCAAAGTAACCTCGGGACCTGCTTCATTGACGTAATGATCTTCCCATCGCTTGCATCGATTTCGGCTATTAGAAGTACCGCCATCAATATGTTGCTTATTCTTAAGTTACAAATTGGTTAAGAGACTGCCCAGAGTGCATCAACTTAAACATACGACTCGTATCAACATTGGTGGTGGATACTCCATACGTTCCATTCAAATCGCCTTTCTAGGACCCATGTTTATAACAGCCAATAAAAGTACAAGTTTATCGTATCATCAAGGCGCTGGCGGAAATCATTATCGGTTTATCGATATACGAGTGTACGTCCCCCATTTGTTGACAAATTGTCGAGATACTTGCGCCGGAAAGGTTAGTATATTCAAAGCATACTTTTGAACATGTTTGCTGTACGCTAAAAATAGCTAAGTTCCAGATGAAGGAGACCCTAAATAAGTAATGATAAAGCAGATTAGTCATGCCACAAAAAGCTATAAAAAGCGTTTTGCATATCATCTATGTAAAAAGACAACTGAATCAACTACACCTTCCTCTCCAGACTAGCCACCTCCTTGTCTGACTGCTGTGCGGCGAAAACACGCTGCTAATGCAAACGAAGATGAAACATTAGCCACTAAGAAATGTTATGGAAGTCTTTAGACTACAAGTAAGAAAAGGCCCCTTACATTCACGAAATTGGACTTTTTTGGGAAGGATTATGCATAACGCCCATATAAATTTATGCGGGTTTTTCTTAGTAAGTGACAAATACAATTAGGGTTCGTCCGCAGCGGTCCGAAATCGACGTTAAAACAGCCACTTTACGGAATAATAATTAGGATAAACAGTAAACAGTTGGTGAATTTAAATACACCTGATTTCTCGCACTGTAATTCTCGAATGTTCCGAAAATAAACAAGTCGAGATTTTAGAAATAAGCGAAAGAAACAATTGATTGTTTGTCTTGTATATTGACGAAATTATGTAAATCGATTGTTCTCTCTCCGCAGATATATCAAAGCCAATATGGAGACGTGGTCGACAATTGTGAGCTGGTAAATCTTACACATGCGCTGGCTAAAGAAGAAATGTCAAAGCATTAACTAAATCATGTGATAACTATAACGCATTACACGATCGATCCTTGTACTGATACTGATTATGGGCAGGCAAAACAGATCGTCTTATGTTACAAAGTAATAAACCTAAAAAGATTTCATTGTTTTTATGATTATTCGCGTTTGAAAATCAAATGGATATGTATTGTGAGTGTAGAACTAAACTATCCTCACAATAATGACGATAGTAAGAGTCATAATAAATATAATCAACAAACCGAGTATTTCCCGTTTACATTAGAGGTTTAAAGGCTAAAAATGTGTTTACAAAAGTGTTTCGAATGCCCTAAGAGTATGATTTTTATGTTTTAAACACTGGCTTTTGTTTTGTCAACTCGACTAGTGCTATTTTTGTGTCTCGTAGTGCCGCCGTTAAACGCCAGTTTTCTGAATTTAGGGGAATGGCGTGAGAGTTGAAGGGAGTATGATTGTGAATTTTTAAAAGAAAACATTAAGACCCTGATTATTGGGGTATCGGGGAAGCAGTGATAAAAAAGTTGCTTTAACCATGTTATTTGTTTACAAACGCGACTGAGAAGTTTGTTTTTTTTTTTCCATAAAAATGGAGTACGTGTCGAGGAAAGTCACACCGCCAGAAAACGTTGTGTACCAGTAAAAAGATTGTGTTGCGCATGCAAAGTTTTTTTATAGATGTCGCACATTCTAATACCTTTAAAACGTACGTATTATTTCTGTATGTGATAGTGAGTGAAATGTTAATTACGGTCAGGAGAAAATGAGCAAATTTACCTCTGCAAAAGACGAACGCTCGATTTGCTGTAATAGAATTGCAATGACGACAATACAAAATACTCATTGTTATTGATAATCATGTTCTGATGATATATCCGGCCTTCATTGACCAAATTTACATTCTCGAAAAAGCTTTTACGGTCAGAATTTTTAAAATTTCACAATGTATTTAAACTTGATCACCTTCAACTTAATTTCTAACAGGAGTTAGTTGCACATATTAATATTGTAAAAGCACAACAGTCAACACGCTTGACACCACCATTCACAATGACATTTATGTAGATAATGGCAGCAACAGCGAGGATAATGACAACAACAGCGAGAACGATGTCAACAACAACGATGACAATGATGAATCAGATTCTGTTAGTGAAGATGCAGTCAAATGACATCTGTCGAAAGTACTTCAGGTTCATCAATCTGTAACGATACTTTAGACAGGTATCGATCAAAATTATGTCAGAAAGGTAGCGTCCGCCAGAAAAGCTTGTGCAAGCAATATAATTGAAGCCGGACTTCAGTTTATATTGCACCGATCATGATAACAAATCCCCCTCTCTTCCTCTTTAGTCACACTTTACTCTCCATCTCATTGTCTGCTTCTCTCACTTATACTCATATTCACACACACACTATGAACTGAAAACTCAACTTCTGCTGAGTTTTTTGACACTGATTTAGTGAATTCTAGCTCAACAACCACTACCAGCAATGCATTGAGCAGCTTACATACTCTGGTTGTTGTAGTTGATAATAAGCAAACTTGCATTCCAATTGTGATGATTAGATAGTGGTGTTGAGTCAACTAATACATCAATATCAAGTCTTCGCGCACATTATTTGTTATATGGAGTTTTATGTGTGAAGAATTGCTATTTTCTTTTTTCAGTGTTTGACTTTTATATTTTATCCTGTTTACAATAGCTTTGAAATAGCAGAAGGATTATTACTATTATAGTTCTAATTGTGCACAGAAAAGATGCTTTCAGCATTTGAATTAGAAACTGTTTCATTTTACAATAGCTTTGAAACTAGCAAGAAGAGCTTTAATCACGTAATATATTAATATGCATGGATACTATTAATATATGATTTATAAAAATCGATTGCATATGCATTCAAAGGGTGTATGCAATAATAATAACAGATAATAATAATCCGAATTCGGGACCAGACAAAAGTATGCACTTAGAGGAATTATGCATTTAGCGGATATGCATTTAGAGGAGTTTCACTGATAAGAAAACCATATTACTGTGACGAATTTCTTCCCGTGTCTCCGCTCAAATCTGTCTCCATATTTACTAGCTTCTTAGTATTAGTGTGCCTTGTCGGCATTACACGTTTAGAGTGCAACCAATGGTAAGTCTAATTTGTAATTTATCTGCTAACCACAGTCGCTCACTGCCAAAAATAGGTTTAGCAACTGCATTATGCATTACCAAATTTGTGTATAAAAAAGACTTGTCCCTTGCTTGTTTTTTATCTTTATTCTAAACGTTTCATCTGCGAACAACGAACCAACCTCGGTCCCTCAATCTAAAGACGAAAAACAACCAAAACGAACCAATGTATTTGCACAGCCACATTTCAGATCAAGGTCCCGTTTGTCCTTTAAGGAATTCCAAAAATCGGCCAACAACTCAACTACGCGTCAAGCGAAAACGTTACTCCTCCGCTAAAAAGTCTTGGCAAAGATGTATTTATGCGTAGTCCGGTTGCTATGAACGGTAACACGATAGAGACTAATCTACGTCATGACGATACGACACCCACACAGGACGCGCATCCTCAGCAACAAGATATGGTTTTGGATACGCATCATTTAGCAGAATCTGAGACAGAAGCTATCCAGATTATTGAACAAGAGGAATTTCTTTCTTCAGAAAACAATGCCGCAAAGACAAATATATCTCAATATCATTTCATTGCTTAATGTGCACTCTTGCTGTTCTATTTCTCAATTATGCTCCTTGTTAGTATCTGTTGCTGCATCAGTAGTACTGTCTTGTCATTGTAGCTAGAGTTTATGACACTTTGAGACATATTGGTTTGATTGTTATTCATTGCTCATCACAAGTGACAATTACTAATATTCTTTGTTCAAATGCATAGACACCAACCATTATGCAGATATAGCATCTTCAATTACAGCATCGTTGTCTTATGTACCTACCTTAGAAAAATTACCAGAGGCTCTTCAGCAACCATTTGAAATACCAATTCCTATCGAAAATGATGTATATCAAGCCATACAGTCAAGAATTTTGAATATTGAGAAATGGTTTGTCTCATCAATGACGAGTGGCTATCATGCTGGAAGATTGAGTAGAACAGTTGCCTCTGTCTTTGAGATGGATGTTTTTCATGGAACAGAAATGTTTCAGACAAAAATGATTGATCATTGTATAGATGATGTGTTGGCAGCTGTTAATGCTTATTCATTGGGGGGTCTAGTATGAGATCGCAATAGTTCTGATTTCACAACATCTACAAAAGCAAATTTGCGTCCTGATTACCTGGTATGGTACAGATCAGTGCTGATTATCAGGGGTAAAGATAAGAAGGCTTACCATGATATTGAACAAGCAAGAAATGAACTCACAAATAAAATGAATTTATGGAGCCCATCTCTCTATGGACAGTTGCCATATCTTTTTGGCTATGCTTCAGCAGCTGAATTTATACAATTCTTTGCTCTTCATCCCAGAAATGAATATGGAACATCAAAAACCACAATACAGTCTACTCCAATATCTAGCTATTTAGCACTTAATAATACTGTTGGCATGCATAAGGTTTGGGATGAAAAAAATTAATTAATACAAAACATATCCAGCTATAACACACTTTTATTTTGTTTCAATAGGTATTATCATGTGTGATCAATATGGTTCGTATTATTGGTGCATTAGAACCATTTTTTCCTTTACAACCCATCAGGATTGGTCACATTGAACACTGTAATTATGGTAACAACTGCTTTGGCAAGGTCCAATTTTTTGATACATATGTCATTAAATCTATTAGCAATTTCACAGCATACAAATTTACAACAAAAGATGTTCTCAATAAGGTCTACAGGCAGACAAAATATGCAGGTGGTATCATTCATGCTCAAGAAGCACCAAAGTTTGAGCACAATAGATATAAAGTTGTATTAGAACCACTTGGTCTTTCTGTGAAGCCAACAACTGAATCAGAACTAAAGGTTGCCATCAAATGCATTCTCCTTGGCCTTAATGCAATTCACAAAGCAGACCTAGTGCATCGTGATATCAGGTGGTCCAATGTAATTCAGGTACCAGAAAATGATTGGCAGTTGATTGATTTGGAGCATTCTGGTAAAGCAAGAGGAGAACCAGGTTTCCTTCTTCAATGGTGGGCACCAGAAATGATTGATGAATATCAGAGATATAATCAGGCAGCAGATATTTATATGGTTGGAAAGCTAATGGACACCTGTAACGTCATCTTAAGTGAAAATGCCATGGTATTTAGGGATAAATTGACAGATGTAAATCCAAAACGTCGTCTTACAGCTGAAGCAGCATTTAATACATTGTGGTAAAAGAGCCAAGGCTTTGAAGTTTGCATTGGATAATCAATAAATAATTTTATGATATTATTATGCTGAGTAAAACCCAAACACAATTTAATAATAGTATTACTTAAATATATGGGTTGTATTCAATTTGTTAGGTTATATACAATAAGTAGTTATTTTCAAGCGAAAAATAGATACCCATTTATTAATTTTTGTGTAGCTACATTAGTACTTGCACTTGAGTCAATTGATGCCTCGTTGGAGGAATTTCCTTTAAACTACGCAGTATACGAAGAGTACTCGAATTTCGCTCATGTCATTTGCTACACCATATACAATATATGTTTTAAAGCGGTTAACCATAGCTTCGCAAACTTCAAATAAAAATTTGCTCAGTGTGTGATAATCGTAGCATAAAATGATATGAAAGCTGAAGCTCGAAATTTGGCAGCAGCAGATTGCTTTTTAATAATATTTTATTGCTAACGACGGGACATATCCATTTCTTGAGACAAGTAGCGGTAGTTACCGATAAAGCCTCTTAACTTTTCGTTGCTCCCATTATATCCTGCGATGATGAGATCCGGATGGTGCCCGGAACACGTTCAGACTCATTTAGGTGACCGGAACAGTAAGGCCTCGCGTATACAATACCTACCTTTTTCCCTATCCCTTTGGTAAGGTGAATTTGCTGCTTGGCATGCCAATTTATGAGCAATACTTCTTTATTGCTTACCTATTACTATTATCTGTTGTCAACCCTCGTTGTACCGATACCTGTAATACCGATAATCTACCTATTGCTATAACGATAGAAACTTCCGCTCCCAAAATTTACATAGGAATTTTTACCCGTTATGCCGATATAACCTTTATACCGATACATGCAATGGCCTTTACTATTAAATCTTACCTCTCTCTACCGATATTCGTGTAACACTTACTGCTTGATCTTTGTGAACATTGAATATAACAGGGAAAGTGAGAGTTATATTGACTTATGCACAGAAGAAAAAGATCTGTACTTTACTTTCTCAAAACCTGCTCTGACGCAAACTGCTGTTGCGTATCAATACAATAAACGAGACAAGTGGTTGGAAAAAGAAAAAGAGAACGCAAACTGTAATGCCCTGAGATCGAAAAGACGTTGACAATGAGGTTTAGCATGAAAAGTAATTTGTTGGCTCACGCCATTTCAAAAAAAAGCAAATATCCGTTGATAGTTTTGTTCGTAATTGTTAGTTTATCCGCGTGGATAATAAAGCTTGAAATTTTTACTTAATACTCTGATAAATTGGTATTTTGTGTATTACTTATATATTATTGGTAAAAAAGAAAAACTCTCGGTTTACCGATACCTCGTTTCACCATAAATTTTTGGCGGAACAAAAATATCGGTATAACGAGGTTTGACTGTATTATTTATTTCACGTATTGTAATATTAATTAATGTTACGTAGTAGAAGTGCTTGCAACTTAATGATGGTAAATATAAAGTATTAATAAATAAATAAATAAATAAATAAATAAAATTCATAGAGAGACGCGAGTATTTTATTGGTTCCCTCGGATTGATTGGTGGATCGCCAACTCTTTGTTAGCGTGAATTTCAATAAACGCAAAAAACCGATAGTACCTTCCTATCGAAGACGAAGCCTCTGGAAGAATCATTGACACATTGCATCGGTTATCGTTCTATATAATGTCTACAGATCAAATAAAATCGCCATTTCACTTCTAGTTTTCTAATTTGAGCGCGATATCCTCGGGTGATTTGTAATATCGATGGCGTTAATTTATTTGTACCATCGACGAACTCGGAAGAGAAACATAATACTGTAATAACTGGTACGAGAATAGCAAGCTATAAATATGCTGCCAAAAATAGAGAAATAAGGCACTAATTAGATTGTCTGAATGACACTTTCTATGATAATGTTAACGACATAACGATAAACCCCTGTTTTAGATGACCAATTACAATCTATTATTCACAAGGTCATAATGTCATTATTGAAATGCCAAGGATAAGGAACATCTTTTCATTTAGTCAGTCCTTGTTAACATGTTATGTTATAATCTGCGTGCTACCATTGCTTTAATTATCGTCTGAATTGATGGCTAGTGAGTATTATTCTATCTGGTCATTCGAATTGTTTATGCGATCAAGACAAAGAAAAGATCAAAGTATTTGGTGAAATGTATTACACGTAATTTGGCATATTGTGTCAGCCTGTTATCAGTCATTTAGATAGAAAATCTGTGGTGCCCGTAACAGTAAGGCAATAATAATAATCCGTGTAAGACTGTAAAGAATGGTGACGGCTAACAATGGGGAAAGTAATTTCATTGATGATGATTTTATTTTCAATGCGTTGTTGAAAGATTTACATGACAGTAATGGTAATATTAAAATGAATAATACTACGATTCCATGATTGAACTTATGTGCGTGTTTAATATATTACACATGCAAAGTTAATAAATGATATGATATTTGTATTGAGACAGCATTCTAACTATTAACAATCTATTTCTGACAAACATATTTTTGTCTTACTTACAATCTTCAAATTATTACATGATATCATTGTCTTTCATAATTCACTTTTCAAGCATTAAATTTAATCCTTTTGGCTACGTCAACTGCCTCTCTCAACATCCTTAGACTCCTTCTGTCTCCCGACAAAGCAGTATGAAAGGCGTTCATGCAGTATGAGAATCCAATCTCCAACTCCTCATTCCATATAAACAAACTTCCTCCGCTTCCACCCCAGCCGACGAATTCGACGTCTTCAAGGCCCTCCAACCTAAAATATCCAAGGCCACCAACGGTAGCAACCATATTCTCGTGAAGTACGACATCATACTCTTCGGGTAATCTTTGTGTCAATAGTTTATAAGTGTCAACAGATACCAAAGGCTTTTCGTTACTGTTGGGCAATGGTTGCCCACGGTTGGCAAACATAGCAGCGATCTTGGCCATGGATCGAGCGTTCGTCATTCCAGAATAACTGGGTCCTTCGGCAATATGCATTTCTCGTCGGTTATAGGCAGCAGGTTGGGTTTGATCGGGTGCTGTTTGTACCAATGTTTTGAAGGTGACGCTGCCACCTGACAACATATCTCCAAAGATTTTATGCAAAGGTGTACCAAACATGGATACAGCCCAGTCGGGCAACAATAATTTTGCAAGCACTCTCAACATGGGGTATTCGTAAATAGTTGCAACTCTTTCTTCCATCTCTTCGCTCAATTTGTAATAGAAATCTATTCCGTATTCGTTTGCAATTTCTTCTTGGAATATCTCTCCAACGGTTCTATTTCTCTCATCTACACGTCTTACGATTTCATTCACATACCAGCCTCTGGAAACAGCATGATAAGCACGAGTACGAATGCCACCGAAATTGTGTGGTTCAGCGGCGAGGATTTGGGCAAGATGGTCGAGGTCATAAATGTCTTTGATTGTCATACGGTGATGAGATATGAATGAGACGCCGGCTCGGTGTGTCATCAAGTCTCCTAGAGTTACGTTTTCCTTGTTGCCTTGACCGAATTCGGGCCAGTAGGTTGAAATTGTTGTGTTGTAGGAGAGAATGTTGCGTTCTACTAGACGGCTTACTACTAGTGAAGTCTGATAAATAGAAAGGAGAAGGAGATATTAATACTTGAAATATGCAGAGTTTGTGTTGTAAAAGTCATATTTTGATCATAATAATTACTTACCATAACCTTTGAACTGCTAAATACCAGTTGCAAAGTATCTTCGTCATATAGTTGTTGAGAGTCCAAGTTTCTTATACCGCCAAATAGATCAACAACTTTCTCTCCTTCGAAATAAATTGTCACACCAGCGCCGATATCATCTCCATTCTTGAAATTGTCTACAAATATCCGTTTCACGCCTTCAAATTCCGGGCGTACGTACCCATGAACAGATACAGCCGGACAGCCAAGTGAAATTAATTGACAGGAAGTAGAAAGAAAAGGACCGGCAATGGCATATGCATAAAGGATATATAAAATGATTATGGGCGAGAAAAGGAGGGCAATGCGTAGGGGAGTAAGATTAAAAGAGGATAACTCGGTGGAAAAACGGTAAAGGGAAGATCGAGAGATAAAAGAGAGAGATAAGGAGCCAAGGCGAGTTGGGTATGCGGAGAATATTAGTGGTTGTCTCTCGGATTTGCGGTTGTGTGTATACGTAGACGACATTTCTGATGTATGGTAAAAGTAGGAATGTTATGTAGTTTGACGGGCAAAAATCAATGTTGCCCTTAAACAAATGAATGTAAAAAAGGTAAAATTATTGATTATAGTAATGAGTATGTCTTCTTGTTCCCGCTCTTCCCTGCAAACGTGCGATCTTTATACTTGCGATAAAGTGTGCTTGGTTTACAGTTTTGATGTATATATATGGAAATGATTTATTAATTTGACGTTTTTCTTTGTAGATGTCTTTATCTCAGCCTTGTTTGTGATATGAGAATGTTTCCGAGTGCTTGTTCAGCCTGAGGTACCAATCGCTTCTTTTTAAATTAAACGGATCGATCAAATATGGAAAGAGTTGAGGATAAAGATTTGCACTAATGCAGATATTAGTGAAGGGTCTTTGTTTGGGACGGAGAATTTTTGGACGGTCAGTATAACGTGCTTTGTAATAATACATCGATTGTTCAACGATTAACCTTATATGTACAATCTCGAAAAGTATTATTGGAGAACGATGTCGTTGTTTGAGATACCCTTGTTTCGTTAATTTCTATATTTGGAGGGCATTGTTTGAAGATAATTGTGATATTGTTTTGTGTAATGATTAAACATAATAAATGAAGCGAGAAGAATAAGGAAACGTAGCATAAAATTTGGGACCAGTAACAATCAGTAATTTTCTTCTTTGTCAGTCTGTAGTGTCGCACCCGGTTAAGTCCCCGGATGGACGAATTTAAACTATGATCCCAGGGGACACGAATTTGTCCAATAGAATGATGATTTGTAATTAAGTTAACTGGATCAAAAAATAACCGAAATTTCGGAAGAGAACAAACAATTAGGAACGCCATCATTGGATGTTTCTTGGGGTGATGGACTCGAAACTCTCGTTCCCTAGTACAAAGGCCAGTGTATTAAGGAGCTACTATCTACGCTAAACATATCAGGTTGGTTGCCGAGTATAAAGTTTTTTTTTCAAACATAGGCTTATCATAACTGGTTAATCGTCAAGACCCCAAAAATCGTGCTCTATGCATAACAAATCAGTATGCTGCCGATCATTTTAACGAACGACCCAAAAATTTATAATTACCAAACGTCCCTACAGTTAATAGGCACTCAACATTCTGAAATTGATTTATTAAGCCATACCATATCTGGTTTGAATGGAGTCTTCTGTTTACTCTAGTTGGAATGGAAGATTTCTGGGACGGTAACAGGAATAATCAGAAATCCGAATGGTTGGTATTAACAAATATAAACGGGGCTTTTCAAACTTATTTCACACACGAGGTAGTATATTTATAATCGTTCATTTGATAATACTTGACCATCCATACGTATACCACGTTATCTAAATTTAAATTATGGTTACGTACTTGGTTCGACTTTCAGAACCAAAAGCTTACACTGAAGCTTACACTAAGCGATCGAACATAATGCCACCAGCCTGGCTGAATGATACAGAAAGAAACTACTGTTAGAACTATCGAAAAGCGTATGAAAGTCATAGTGTCGCATATGAGAGTATTACCGGAATGTATAAAAGGTCTCCAGGCGATAAAAGGCATTCTTTGTACCTCGCTGACTCAAAAAGAGGGAACTTGGCAATATCCGGCGATTCAACGTCAACCTTATTGTGAGATAAAGAGCCAATTCACAATAGACAGAAAGTAGTAGCCAAAACAGTAAGACATAATTAGTGTCGCGTCGGATAAAAATGTTGGCTTTTCCAAAATTCCATTCGCTTGCCACCATACCTGACTAGTGTTACCCAATGTTTTATTATGATCAAATGGGTAAAGTTTGTAGGACTCTTCCGGCGCATATAATCTCACATACTTTGTACCGGCAACTTGGGCTAGCAAATTATGTGTTGGATCCGTATGCAAGGGTGAGACCGTACCGCTTGGACCAAACCATGCATTGATATCGACATCCATGCTGTCGTCTTCGGAGGAACAGCCAGTGTCCACAAAGCAATAGTCGGGTGTGATGATATCGTCGAGAAGGCGCGGAATCTGAAAGAAAAGATTGTGTTGCGCTAGATAGGCTATCTGTTGTTTTGCACTAGAGTCACTAGTAACACACTCTTGATGATCTTTCTCATACTTGTCTTTGCATCTATCAGATGTTTTGATCAATTGGACGTAGTCACCAAATGACACGAACTTTTGCATCCAGTCATCGTCGGTATATTTTGATCCTATCTCCACAGGGACCTGGCGATGTTTACCAACAAGTGTTGTTAGGTAATCAAGGTCTGACCATGGACGAGATGAGAGCGCTGGCCAATGAGAGAGAGACGATTCTATTATTATAGGCTGTCGAGATGAAGCTATGTGAGATGTAAAGAAGGAGATACTTGGAGGAGTAGAATGTCTGGGTACAGGATAAGATATATATGGTTGTTGTAATGGTTGCGGTTCATCTACACAATCATTATTATGTCTATCTTCATTTTCCTCAATCTCCGCCAACACCTTTTCAACTTCTCCAATCAAATCTAGCATCATATCCCTCCTCCCTCCTGGCGCACCACTCATAACGAGCGCTACATCTATCGTCTTAACCACATTCTTCCAATCCGTTTTATCACGAGCCAACTTCGCCTCACATATAGCCTTAATTATACTCGCATCAGTGTGGATGCGTCTCCAATATTCTGGCACATCTTCATGCGGATAATTGTACAATTCTCGCACTACATGATCAACAAGTATCGTTATTGTTGGCAGGCAGTCTGATGGTGAAGATGGTAGGTATAGCAGACAGGTGTGTAGAGCGGCTAGAATGTGCCTGTCGTTTCTGATGATTGCTAAGTTAAGGTGGAATTTTTTAATAGATAACCGGATGTCGTAACGAACTCATCGAATGCTTTGCTTACCAGGGTCACTATTGGATGAATATGGAGTTGATATTTCTTGTTTGAGTTTATCGGTGATGAGCTGGCATGCATTAGCGACTAAATCCGTTGCCATTGATCTATGCCACTTGGGGAGGGCTAGATTAACACTGGAGATAGCCAATCAACTGTCACTAGCAAATTTTCCTATGATTAACGGGCTTGCCGTCAATAAAATTATCTTTCAGTTTTCAGGAGAGAAGTTTGGTTGTTGGTGAATCTCCCTTTTTTTAATGTGATCCCACAACCTGAACCACCAAATTAAAATACAACTCGCTTATGGGATGGATTCAATTATTATCTTGTTTTTATTACCGCACTTATTAGAATATATGAAAACCACATTTGATACGGCAACATCATAAATGTTGATTTCCTGATTTACGGTTTATCTCTTTGTATTTGACACAATAACAAGTGATATTCATCGTGCAACTCACATTATTATAAAAAGGAAAGATGTATGTTCTTTATTAGCAAAAAAAAGGAGCCGTTGACGGCTACTTGTTATGTGAGTAGTGAAATGGTTTCAGAGGCAACATATTCACATCGTTTACAAAGAGGTAAAGTTTACATTGGATAACGCTTTTATAGACAATGATTTGTCATAGTATTACTCCCAACTACAGCACAACCCCGTTGATATATTTCGCGAAACTCGTCTCTGTTATTTTGAGAATAGCACTTGTCAAGCAAGCATGTATTCCGGTGAATCTATCGATCTATCACTATTGTTCTGCTGTATATTGCCGTTTTTGCCTTATATTCTAAGACACTTTTTTCAGTCTCGAGATTGTTACAGCTTATCTATGAATTATAAGAAAAGAGATTATTGATGTATAGTTAGTCATCTACACATTACAAGATCTGAAATGACCTCATTAACGTTAATATTTCTACCAATAAGAACGGTAGAAGTCTACGCTAGATGAGGCATTGACAAATACTAAATACTAATCAGCTAATTGTTAACAGTGATACTTACTTTAGGTTGTAGTGAGGTTAATTACGATCAGATCTTATTGGTACATTCGATTAGAGAGGTTCTGTATTAGAGTATTTATTTCGTGCTGCATTAAAACAAGTTTATATATTTTCTGTGTGGGTAAAAAACTGTGTACAAAATTGTCAACTACTCACACCTATCATTATATCCCTTCCATTTCTAAACATTACTGTGAGATTGGGAGCTGGCCTGATAAGTTCTGCAATGTTTGCTACAGCAAGACAGCAAGAACATTTTATAGTGCAGACATCAACAACAAGACATTGTATACATACGGCCCAATCTGAAAATATTATAGTCGAAGCATGTGGGAATTTTAGATGTGAAAGAGACGCTGGTGAATAGTTATTTGTTGCCCATTGCAGCATTGTTGCCGTAGTTGTTGATTATTATTATTATTATAACTATCGCGAGGAACTTTTATTCACAACATTATTAACAAGTAAGAGAATTTTCATTATGTATATCCCATGGTTTGTGATCAGCCAATTATTTATCTTGATCTATACAACATCCATAAATGGCAATCTCGATCACCGAAACACAGTTCATTGTCTTATGTATATGCAGAATCTGAGCATCCGTGGTTTGAGAAAGGGTGTCACATTATCAATATTTCAACAAGGACGAAAAAAAAAATCAACCCGAATGTTGTTAACATTATTAGACGTTCATCATACCTGGTTCTCTCGAAACTATTACAATGAATAACACTGCGAAAATATTCGTTCAACCTTGTTCATTATCTACGTCTGTCGCATCTAATTTATTCAGTGCGCACGTATATGTTCCAACGGAAGGCATTTATGCATATCCCCATAAATTACAAGTAGAATTATGGTCCACCCTAACGTCTCCAGACTGGAACGCCGTAGCTTTCCAGGAAGACACAAAACGACAAGTATTCGGTCGCTCTAATGGCACTAAATTTCGTGTATTCAAGTTAGAATATCCTTTGGATAACATCAAACCTGGATGGTATGAGTTTACATATCGCATAAGGACGTCAGCCACACCATATGCCGACTGGACGTGGCTGAATGAGCATGGAGGATGCAACGGTCGATTATACGTGACTGGTCAGAGTGATGGACTCGACATTAAATCAAGCGAATTGAGTGATGTGTTTTATGAAGTACAGGCACCAGACGATCAATATAGCGCATCAGATGCGAAGATTTGGTACGTTAGAGCAAATGCAGAGTGGAATAATGGACAACCAAGTTACGTCGATTATGGACAGATTAAAAACGCTATCAGATATTTGGGAATACAACGAGCAGCGTAAGTTAAATTTTATTATCTCAATTTTAATGATCGGTTTCTTTCCATCGTCCAAGTTATACTCATTCTATTGTTTTCCATAGCACCCATTGGCTCACACCTTTGACAGGAATCAACCACCCAAACATAAAACACAATGATATCCAGTATCTTCTCGTCCAGCAAGCATCGGGTCATTATGTTGTCTTCATACCAATGACACTAGATCACTGTTCTTCGTCTCTGCGGTCAGATGACGAGGGTCGTTTGAAATTGAAAATACTCAACGAGAAGGGAGAAGATAGCAGTATTGGATTGGTCATTGGTCGTGGATACGATCCGTACACACTCACTAAGACTTGCATGGAATACGTGAAGAGAATACTCGGGCGTAATTCGGAAACGAAGACGGCGCATGCCAAAGGACATGAGGAGTTGTTTTACTACGATAAATTGGGTTATTGTACTTGGGATGCGTAAGTACCAGTAATCATGTTTGGTAAGTATGCATACAACACATCAGCCTTAACATTGGATTTGCTGTTCTATTCGCTAGTTTTCGCGAAAAGGTGAACAGAGATGATTTATTTGCAGCACTACAATCATTGCAGAATGAACACGTCCCAGTAGGATTTGTTATTCTCGATGATGGATGGCAGCAGACATCTCCGGGAAGACAACTAAGAGGATTCGAAGCAGATCTTACCAAGTTTCCAGGCGGATTAAAAGAATTGGTGACGGTTGCCAAAGAACGATTTCCATCACTGGAACATTTTGGGATATGGTAATGTTCAGCATGTTGTCTAACGTCTCGTTAGACCAGCAGTTATTTTAGCTTGGCTTCATCTTATTTATGTCTCTACCCTATCTTTTCTTTCCCTAGGCACACTATCTGGGGTTACTGGAATGGCATAGAACTTCCTTCCAAACTTCCACATCTTTACAAAATGCAATCAGTCACTCTTTCCTCCACAGACATTCATCAGTCAACGACAGCAAGTCTGGTCACTGCTGAAGACGTTGAACTTTTCTATTCCGACTTTTATTCTTTCCTATCCGCACAGGGCATCAATCTTGTCAAAGTCGATGCGCAAGCTAGTTTCGATCTCATATCTGCAGAAGGGAGAGAACACCGTTTATTATGGAGAGATTATCAAATCGCTCTAGATAAAAGTTGCAAGGAGCACATGAAGAGGGAACAGATGATTTATTGTATGGCAATGGACCCGAAAACAATATTCTTTTTGCTAAAGGGGGACGAAAAAGAGATGAATAATAAAAAATGTCAGAAAGTGCTTAGGTTGGTAAAGATGGATTCGACCGTATTATGGTTTACAAACATAAACTACAATTTACACTTCAAATAGGAATAGTGATGATTTCTCGCCCAACTCTGATTCTCACGGATGGCACGTGTACGTGAACACTCTCAATAACTTATGGACGAGTACGTTTGACATTATTCCAGATTGGTAATAGTTAATTACATATAACGTATTAATATATTTTACCGCTTATGAGCGACTGAACTCAATTATTTACAATACACTTAGGGACATGTTTCAATCAAACCACGAGTTTGGTGCATTCCATGGTGCATCACGGGCAATAAGTGGAGGACCCATTTACATTACGGATCCTCCAAATAAACACAATACATCGGTACTTAGAGCACTGATTGCAAAGACAAAGCACTCCCATCGGATTCTCCGGTGCGACCATCCAGCTCTACCCAGTCCCTCTTGTATATTTGAAGATGTGACGAAGACAGATAGATTACTCAAGACTTCTAATACGAATGGTTCGGTCGGAGTTCTTGGACTATTTAATTGCAGACCAACGGAACAATTGGATACGTTCAGTTTATCCGATGTTCCGGGCTTGGCAAAGCCACAGACGACTGCTGACGATCAGAGCAACGATTACGCCCTATTCCTATTTAACGATCGTTCGGTACACCATATCTCCAGTCACCAAAGTCTGTCCATATTTCTTCCTCCAAATTCGTTTGAACTAGTGACGTTCGCACCAATCGCTTCCCACAAGTCCTTCCAAATATCTTGCTTCGGCCTCATCGACAAATACAATGGATCACGTGCTATAATAAACGCTGGTTTTCACACCGATTTCGCCAACATCAGTCATCGAAAAAAGAAGATTCTTGTGTATAGGATAGTATTGGCGGCATATGGCGAGCTGGGTTTATACTTGGAATCGCCGAATTTGAGCAGAGGAAGCAGATTTAAGGTTTTCCTGGGAAGTAAAATGATGAAGGAGGGTGATGTTGTATTTGACTATGAAAGTGGGTTCTTGAAAATTATAATAGATGATGGGAACGCGAATGAGAATGATGCAGAGAGTATTGAAGTGTTTCTACAGATTTTAGTATAAAAAGCTGTAAGACTGTTTGTAGAGAATGGAGGAATGGTTGATTCTTTCCTACAGCCCTCACTTTTGTAAGGTAAATTACCATCATTAAATCGGCGAACACAGGATTCATTGATCTTGTATCTGTATGTACAGCATGGCTTTCAAATTGGCGAGAGCAAAGCTATCCCATATCTCTGGCATAATTAGATGGAAATGATAGCATTGTTGGCATTCCATTCTTCAACTAAACTCATTTACGTTTTGGATAAATTCTTCCTTCAAACGCTATTTATCCTTGCAGGTTTTTTATTTGGATTATGTAATCTTACTATTTAACAATAAATTGCGGCCAGTATTTGCAGTGTCAACGAAATTTTCACATCAACATGGAAAATTAAAGATCGATAATGGAATGTGAATGTTTTTAACACATGAAGAATGATATCAGATGCGGGACGAGTAACGTAAACTTAAATCAAGATAAGTCTGGTAACGATGAGGTAATGATTTGGGATTGAAATAGAAGACAAATATGACTAGAAATACGGGATCACGTTTACATGATCGCAATGCAATAAAATGCTGTTCATTAATTATCATGTAGTGCCTGAAATGGAATCTGCTTGCGTATTAAAACAGTATTATCTTTTGCTAGTGTAATTAATGGCGTTCTTTGTTAGTTACACGAGAATTATGTTATCTAATAACGCTTTTTGGCATACTGAATATCAATTACGTCTTGATGTATTACTCTTAAGACGCGGCGAGAACGATTGTGAGGCACGTGCAAAAACTGTATTATGGAGTTACACCTCATATATACTAATACTAACGCTGTTAATCAATACGCCGTAATAGTAATTATAATAGTAAATTAAATTCTAGCCCCTGAAATTTTGCTAGTAGGTATTAATAACAGTAACATTTCAACTTGGCGTTATTGCCATTTCGAACATGCAAAAATGCATGCGAAGCGAAGATATACTTACCATTCGTATATAGAAAACAGCCCTCAATCAGGGGCCTCTTACAATACGTCCGCCATGAGCGATTCTCAGTCTGAACTGGTTCCTTACTCGAACGAGTGGACCGTGATCTTGTACGTATTCAAGAATGCATCCATTTACCTTCATATCAAATTGCGATTTCATCAAAACATCACTATTCGCACTTTTTCAAAGACGTAATGAGACGTCAGGTCAGATTGTTCTGTACAACCCTTCCGATCGTCAAGTCTCAGTAAGACAACTACCTCTTACGAGAACTACTGCTGTCACTTCTCCAAGAGTAAGCTGGATAAATCAAGTTTTTGCGAATTCAAATGGATGCGCTATTAAGTGAGGTTCTTCTGTTAGTTTTTGACATCATCACAATTTTGCGCATTATGTCATCGACCTTTTGAACGTCATGGATCAGAGGAGAGCAACGAGGTAATGATATTTATTTATCTTAGCTTGCTACCGTTACTGCTATCGAATAGCTACTTGTGATCTTAACTCTTGTGATATTTATCCTTTGCTTGCCTCACCACTATGTAGCTTCCTCGACCAGACTTCATCCACAGAAATTATTTCCGTCTTTTAGAGGACACCGAGAGGCAATCAAGGTATTCGGTCTATTCGAAATTTACAAAGCAGATCCGTCCGTAGTATTCGCAACACGACTTTCTGTCTTTATAGGCCATCATCTTCAAGTGGACAGCCACCACCGCCTACCCAAGAATATGCTTTCCAGCCTCCCCCCGACGATCAGAGGTGGCATTTGTCCGAAAGTTCATTTAATCAGGGGTATTATGAGAGGTTTTTTATTGAAGAACAGAAACTTGGTAGGGGATTTCGCGGGAGTGTTTATCTTTGTCAGGTTGGATTATTTATATGGAATTCTGTGTGGCTATGGAGATGAGCCAGACGTGATTGAATTTACATGCTCTTTTCTCGTAGCATGTCCTTGATAATGTACATCTCGGAGAATATGCTGTCAAGAAGGTTGTTGTTGGTAAGTAGGATCTTTGTGAGTTATTACAATAAGCTTAATTTTATTCCCATTTAGCGTTCTCTAACAATTAACAATGCTAAAAATTATTGTTACTATCGATTTCTTTATAGGGGATAACCATTCCTGGCTTGTAAGAATGTTACGAGAGGTCCACTTGCTCGAAAAACTGCACCATCCAAACATTATAGATTACAAACATGCTTGGTTAGAATATCACCAACTCACCAGTTTTGGTACGTTGTGTGTAATTTCCTCTATCCTCTGGTAGGTTTCTATGTCCATCCCGATTCAAACCAAGTTACACTTCCCTCATATGCACGTATTCTCTTTTCTTCTTTCACAAGGCCCTCAAGTACCATGTTTATTTATTCTAATGGAATGCGCAAATGGCGGTAATCTCGAAGAATTCATAAACATTCAAGCGTCACCCATCGACACACATGCACCAAATGAGAATCTCACTCCAAGAGAACGAGCTATTCGCGAACGTCGCTTGCGTCAAGCGAGTTTCCTAAATGACGCGCGATCATCTGCCACTCCACGACCGGCCTATTCTAGACGAATCCTCCAGTTAGATGAAATTTACGCTCTCTTTGTGGACATTTGTGCTGGATTGATGCACCTTCACGATCAAGGCATAGTCCACCGAGACCTCAAACCGCCGAATCTTCTCCTACACTACTCTAATCCAGCTCACAAAACGGGTATTCCGAGAGTGCTAATATCTGACTTTGGAGAATGTGAGATTCTCGACCAGTTAACTGAGCGAGATAGAACTGGCGCGACGGGGACTCTGGAATTTATGGCACCTGAGCTTTTGACTGTAGATAGTACTGGAAAATATTTGAAGGAATATTCGCCAAAGTCAGATATGTGGTCGTTGGGGATTGTACTTTATTACCTTTGCTATTCGCGGTTACCGTATCGACAGATTGAAGACGTGGATCTGTTGAAGGATGAGATCTTGCACTTCAGGAAGTTAGTAGAGAGAATTATCAAAAATTAGATTAGTTTCTTACTCAAAGGGATCCTTGCTATTGAAATTCGGATAAATTACTAACGACGAGTGTTGTTTATCTAAATTAGTGTTCCGTTTCCAGATAGCGACCTATCTACAAGCGCAATTCGTCCAATTCCAGCACAGTTGAAGGCGCTTATATCAAAGTTACTTGCGATTAATCCAAAGAACAGACCATCTTGTGATGAGATACTAAAATTGGTTGCGGAGGCAAGACACTCTTACGCGGCGCCAGCAAATAGTGCATACCCGAACGCAGTAAGATTCTTCGTATTTTACTCGAAACAATAAGAAGTTCTTACACGTGACTTATCTCTCATTGCTTCGCTTTCAGTCACCATCGTCATATGTTGAAGTAGTCAGCTTGTCTCCTCCGCCGTCCACGATACCATTATCTTCTTCCAATGCACCCATTTCGTCTTCACCACCACTATGCCAGCACATCCCCTCAACTACGTCTCTCCCAGCACAGTCACTAGTCCAACGACGTCGTACGTCTTCTACAGATGACAGCGTACCATTAACACAACCAAATGAAGGTATAACAACCGAGTCTCTCAGAAAATTGTAAAGTTACTAAGTTACGTGATGCCCAACATATCATATAAGACTTATCAAAGTATTTCTCTTGTTGCGCAGATGACGACATCGATGATATCAACGACATCGATGATATCAACGACATCGATGATACAGATCGGATGTCTGATACTTCAACAGCAGTAGTACGGATTTTACCACCTGCTACTCGACGAGGAGTTTTTAGTGTTGTGATTGGGAAAATCCTGACGCGTTGTGACTTGTGGAGAATCATTAAAGGATGTATTTTTCTAGTTAAGGTTAGAATGATGGGTTGTACTGGGACTGGAATTTGAAAGTATACAACTCACTTTCATATATTTGATTAGGTCATAATGTGTTTGTCATGGTGCTCGCCATATTCAGTGTTATTATGGGTCTCTTTTCCTACCTTAGTATTGGCTTCGTTTGATTTAATGTCGTAAGTATTGTCTATCTATTTACTATTAAATTACTTTCATTTATTGACCGGATGTCTTTAAACATATAAATTTCAAGTCTACCGACTTCGGTCAGTGTCATATTAGCTTTAATCCACATCTTTTTGTGGGTCACTGCTAGTATTATCGGTGGGTTATGTCAACAGAATGAAGGCAAAACAGAAGTTTACTGAATTGTCAATATGAATTGGACAATGAGCCGTATATTAATTAATTAACAAAAAATAATTACATGATATGTTGCATTCAAATATGCACTAAATACCGCGTGACTGAATATAAGTTCAACACAACGATTCAATTGAATCGCCTATTTCTTTTTATCTTTATCAAAATTAGAGTTCTTTATCGTTATCTTTCTCTCCTTTCTTAATGATTTCTTGGAATAAGGATCCTTGTACACTTCAGCCATCTTCTCCTCGTCCAACAGTTCCCATAACCACTCTGGGTATTCCTCATCTGGCAATGCTATTGGATCTTTGCCTTTTACCATAAAATTTAGGCCTTTCAGAACAGTTCCCGCGGGAACCGAGGATACGGGGCGCTTTTTAGGCTCTAATCGGGTAGACGAAGTTTATGATTAACAGTAAAATTTTGGATTGAAGGTGAACAAGACGAACATTTTTGTGAGAATGGAAATGACATTGTTAAACTGGTTTCAAAGAATCCTTAAACCCCCGGTAATTGGACTAGTCAAAGACGAAAAGCACCAAACCGCCAAAATAATTACCAACCTACTCTAAAATTAATATATCAAAGAAAATGATTATGGTCCTAGCCAGCACTGTTACCTGGTTGGGTTGCTGATTGTGAAACCGATGTCGAGTACCTGGATAGATTACAGAATACGCGAGAAGCAATGAAAGTTGGCCGCGAAAGAATAGTTATCATTGTGATTTGAATGATTTTAACTTGGTCAATGATTGAAATACATGATTGGGCGAGTATCTAAAATTCCTTTTTGGCGTCAGATCCTTAATATAGTAGTAACCTAGAAATGGCGAAAAAAAGGGTTGGATCACGTGGAATTTTCGTTACACCGAGTACAACTATCACTTATTCCATATCTGCATTCAAATAACACTAGATTTTTTTCACACCCACGAAAGATCGTTATTTTATTATCCCTACACTTCATTAATGACATTTGCTTAAGCAATTGCCCTTCACTGGAAGGTTGTCAACTTATCTGGTGATAGACATCATAATACAATAATTATTGTGGGGCTATGATTACTTGTCTCACCAGAGGTGTGTTTTCTTCGCATTCGTAGTGTCGATGTTTAGAGACACTTAGACAACTTTATCATAAGAACGTATAATTAATAAATAAATCGTGTTGTGTACGCAGACTCACCAATGTTTCGGATATATCTAATAGGCAACGGATAGCTTTGATGTGTAAGACCACTTCGATCTGCTTACGTAGAATATCGATTACAACGGTACACTAATATATGGCAATAGTAAGTACAAATCTGGCTGAATACTAAATGCACGTGCCATAATCTCAATTCGTCAAGACGATCGTCAGATCTGAGTTTATAAATTTTTTAACTCCGAATAGACCGCTCGGTTGCGCTCGCTGAACATACATAACAAAATGGTACTTACCAAGATCACTTTTCGACAGTTATGTCAGATGAGGTTAACTGAATGTTGCGTACTTATATAAAGGCCGCACGATTAATAGCACAGATCATTGTCATGGGCGTTCAAATCGTTGGAAGAGCTTTCATAGAGGCATCTAAGCAGGCCGCTGCGAGTTTGTATTTATATTCCTACAAATATATGTAATATCTCCCCTGTACACCCTCTTTTATCACTGTATTATTTTAATTCTTGAACATTTTACAACTCAGATGCCGCCAGAAATGGTAGTTCGGCCGGTGCGGGACCAGCAGTTAAAGCATCAGCAGACGCTCTCACAAGGAAGACTGGCATGACTATTGATGAGGCATGCCAAATATTAAACATAAAGAAAGAGGCAATGGAAGACATGGCGCAAGTGGCAAAGGTACGCTTGATGTTGATCGTTCAATCGAACGTCAAACAATGGGGGAATTCACCACTTTTTGTGGACTAGTTGGTAGAACTAAACCAAACTTTTACTGTCTCTATCAACAGAGTTACGAACACCTATTCAAAGTCAATGATAAATCCACAGGGGGGTCATTCTATTTACAGTGCAAAGTACAGAATGCTAAAGATCGCATAGAAGCTGAACTGATGGAACGAGCAAAGAAAGACAATAAAGGCAGTTGATACTAGTTATGGTCGTGTTTGCTGTTATGCTTTTTCTTGAAGAGCAATGCAAATTATCTGAACACTAAAGTAGTTTAATAAAACCGCGTTATCGCTTTAAATGTAGCACCAATTACTAGACAATTAGTCGATAACGTCTTTCTAGAATAATCTTTCATAGTTCGCTAAGTTTCTTTTTAATCATGCAACTATTAAAACAAATCAATTATATAAATTAGGAGACTGATGTAAGTAAAGTCCACCACGGAGTCCAATGTATTCGCTGTCCAGAATTAAGTATCAATGAACACTGACCTCACGTGATGCTGTGTATAGACTTTCCTAACCTCAGTTTTATATTATAAAAACTAACAGAATTTTTGTCGACTTTTGTTGTCTCCAGCGAACGAGTTTTTCGCTTTAATATATTAAATAAACAATAGAATGATCACATTACTATTTGACAGTGTTATTTGCACCCTACGATGGAGTAGTCTTTTTATAATGAGCGTAGCTACTTTTGTTCCTACAACTTGAGCATTGTCATTTGCCAAGCAAAGAGTCATTATTTGATAGTTATGTTCTTTAAATACTTTAAACATTCCAAGCATTCTGTATAATCCAAGTACAGTCAGCCTTTCCATTTAGAAGGTTACATTAATAACACTAGCTTATGATGAAGGGATAAAGACCCGACAACGTAAGATAGAAATTTTAATAGCAGCGACATATTATTATAAATGAAGACTGTAATCTTGGTGTTATTTTAGTCTAATCCCAATCGTTAACACATTCACACAATGCAAATAAGTCTAATGTCGGATCAATACGCGTGCATATATTATTGATCTTGAGATTTAACTCTTCGAACAGACCTTTGATTATTTCTATGGTGCAGGTCATCTATAGCTCGAAATAAATTATCTAACTTTCAAAGCCTAAGGCTTTTGTTTAAAGGGAATGGAGAAAACCTAATCCGTAAGAATGATAGAACAGACAATGCAGAACAAAGTTACGGTTTAAATTTTAAGAAAAAATAGAAATTTCAGACGCACTGTTTTGTGCAGCTTCTATTATTTCACTATGCCTTGACCAACTAAAAGAAATGCCGCACATAAAAAGTGTCTCGAGATAAAGAGGCAAATTTATTAAAGGAGATGAACTCAATTTCATCGATACAGAAGCAAGCACATTGTCACCAATGGAGACGAATTGAATGACGATTCATTAAGCGGGGAAGTAATGTTGGGAGCAGCCAAACGATACTGTTTTGAAAAGTAATGAATTTTTAAAGACAAGCACGTATTTCCATGGCATATACTGCGCAAATAACGCGGACCTGGATTCCCTCTATCATCATAGTCTCAGCAAAGTGAAATTTACAAAAGAAATTCCATTTAAATACTACATATTATTCTTTGCACACATTCTTTTTGCAAAGCTTTATTTTAAATCCTCAGGATCTGGCAAATCTTTTTATTAAGAGCTCGGGTGGGGATTACCAATTCATCAAAATCTGGTCTACAGATTAAGGAATAACTGCTAAACGAAATTATCTTCGACATGATGCGAATTTCGCCAATCGCGTAATTTAATTCTTGCTGCTTATCGACAAATTATATGTTATAAATTCAAGATTCAATCAAAGTCTGACACACGAGCAGAAAATGCGGCTTCCCTAACATTCCCTGACTGAAATACGTTAGCTGCTGATCACCCAGCGATTCGTCAACTACAAACAAGTTATATTATGTATTCAGTCAACTTACAGAATCCAATTATAATCGAACTTGTTTAATTGTTTAGTGTCCTCGAGTGACTCTAAGACACTGAAGCAGTGACAGTGAACCAAACTTATCGCTGCCCTTTCAATTCATCAATTTGCATTCAGTTAACCAACAATTTCTGCAATTTGTGAAATGTAATTCCTATTCAGTAAATCAGTTTTTTTCGTAATAGCTTCGTACTATACTTTTTGTATATGCTAAAATTATCATCCAAAAACGTACGATATTATGAACTCTAATCTCTTATTATCATGATGCATCCAGCAGGACGCAGCTGACACTAAAACGGAGAATCTAGTTATTTTATTATGACAAGTCAAACCATCCAAGAGTTGTCTACAGTTCTTATTATTCGGCTTCTTCGGTGCATCAATTATTTACTATATTAACACCAACAACTCGCGTCTGCTACCCCGCTCTCAACATAAGTCGAATCTACTCATTTTAATTCTTCATAGTAATCTCAGTCACATTGTTGTAAATGTGTATTGACTTAGTCCAATGTTACCTTGCGCGTCTCTGATAATGACACCCTTGATTACTCCGAGGACATCATGTGGTTCCGGCATTGACAATCGTGGAGCGTTACTCGGTCCCGACATGAAATCCCTATTAAAGGAACGAAGGAATGAATGGCATAAATACTAAATAATCCGAGAGGTATAAAATTGTAGTTGAATCTCACCGATTGAGCACAGCCCCATCCATACTTACGTGGGCAATGGTATTGCACCATGTCGACCGGGTTGGTTCCATGAGAACGAAGTTAGTTGAATTGGAATTGGTTGTACCGGATTACCCTGCGCGTCCCAGCCACTATTATTTGCATTTGGGTACTGATAATTAGATGTTGCTTGCCCATTTAGCTGTCCATCCAGTGGGTACTGTGGATAATAACCCGGATATGTCTGTGAACTATAATCTTGTTGATAGCCTGAAGTATCTACCATTAAAAGTTCGATATATTTCACCTAAATGTTTCTGATGAATTGGTAACATTCGTAACATCAATAACCGTTAATTTACCTGCGGCATATTGTTGCTGATCAGAAGGATATTGCTGATAGTCATATGCTGTTTGTTGTGTCTGCTGTAGCTGCGAGGCAGGAGGCATTGGAGGCGACTCGTATATAGCAGGGGTAGCTTTAATCGGTGGCCCCACAGGCATCGGCACAGGCATCGGCGGCATTGGTGGTCCCCGTGGATCCCTTCCATGTCTCTCGTCTGGCCTACGGTCATATACATCTCTGCGTCTATCATCGTAACGATGATACATGTCGTCTCTCCATACCATTGGTGGTCGCTCCCTGCCAAAAGGTAATGGAGGAGGAGGCGGTGGTAGAGGACCACCACGAAAGTCGGGCCTTCGATCAAACTCTCTTCTTGCGTATTCGTCTCGACGATCTCTAAAATGATCGCCGTCAACTCGTCGATCTCTAAAATCCCTCTCATCACGGATTGGCCATTCTCTTCTGCGTGGAGGGCCTTGCGGATACGGTGAGTGCCTTGGGGGTCCACCTCTGGGTGGCCAGTACCCACCACGCATATGACCTCTACCTCTTGGGCGTGGTTGCTCTGAATGGCCTCCATGGACTGGTGGAATCGCTGGTTCTTTTTTATTAAACTGTATCCATATGCGAAAGATCATTGCCATTTCTGTAAATTGCAGATACGAGTGATAAATAAACCTATAACCATTCCTGGGCAAGGGTAATCAACTCGCAATCTTATAAATTCTCTTGACATGATTCATGCTCGTCATCTTGCAGACTAACCTGGCGATATTATTCCATTGCTTATTAATGCAGACAAATTATTATCGGACGCCTCTGGATATTTAGCCTTCACTTCATCCATTGCATCTGCAATACATTTGTGAATTGTAGCCGAATCTTCCAACTTTGCCTTCATTGTCTGTGATGATCAACAGTTATCCATGTTAGCCAACTTCCCACGATGTAATCAAAGCTTTGAATCAGAATATGCATAAATATTGATTAATACATGCATCTGAAGCCATTCGGACATCTAATGCTTCCTTGCCTTTCTAGAGTAAAGCGTGAATACTTCAGAGAAAAAATAAAAGTAAATTAGATATCAAACATGGTAAACTATCCGTCTTATTCTTACGTCGTCTAATTCGTTTATAATTCGATCTCTCGCAGATTTTAATATAATCTCGTTGCAATAGAGCTTAAAATCAGCATGTAATTTCTTTCGATCGCTAAATAATACAGTTGTATCTTCCTCTGATTTTTTCGTAAGATATCCAGTGATATACTAAATATCCGTTCAACAATAACGAAGCTTTCTCAGTTCTCTGTAGTTATATCAATTTTTCGCTTTACTTTAGTCTTTATCTATTAAAAGCGACAGTGCGTTACCTCCTTGCTGCACTCCACTAATAGCATATAAATAGGCTGATTAGACTTTTTAGAGGAAATCGGCCTCTTCTGTGGTACTTGATCTGTTGATTGCGAGGACGCATTTCCTTGGCCAGTCACTGCAATTGGCTGAGTAGCCTGCGATGATTTAGCAGTCTCATTTTGTATAGTATTGGAGGAGTTCGCTGCTGAATCTGCTGGTTGTGCATTCACAACAGACTAGAAAGAATACACCAGATAGCAACAACAGTTACAGGAGGTCTTGGGCAAACAAATTACGAATGGGGTTTACATGTATAGGGAGTAGAATTACCTGTCCAACGGACTCTTGTGGTCGGGGTGATGGTTGCGATAAACAGAGTTCTTGCGCTAAGGGTTGCTCTTCAGACTGGGTGATCGTCAAACTGTCTGCTTGTGGATGAACTGTAGAACTTGATGGTTTCTCGTCTAACGGCAATTCGCTCTGCTGTGATTCCGCTTGATTATCGGACAATGGCATTTGTGGCTGGGGATTTGTTTGTAAGTTAGATGGCGACGGATCGTCTGACTGCTGTATATCTATTTGGACTTGCAGCTGGTTGGGCGGTTGTTGTTCAGTTAGAGTGTCTGCTGCTTGTTGTGGTGGTTGTATAGACGATAGGTTAACTTCGGTGCCTGTTGTTTCGACCATTCCTGGCATGCTATCAAGGTGTATAGATGTTATCGCAAAACTTTTCTGCTGAATATTTGGATCAAATCACGCGCAATTCATGCTTGCGACAAAATTCGGGGGAGGAATTTAAATTTTGCTGAAATGAACCAAATTTTTATTTTATTTGCAGTGCTAATATTCATATTAATATTAACACTAAGTTAATGTCGGATTGAAAATCCATAAATAGGGTTGGGGATACAACGAATTAATTTGGTAATTTACCCCGAAATATTTGATACCCCACATTATTAACAACAAACAATTACGAGCGCGCCTTTCAATTAACGGCAGCTAGAATATAACGTCCTCATCCTCCGTTTCTTTAAATACATCTGCTGCTTGATCCTCATATTTCTCTGGAGACTGACCCACTAATAAAAGCAAAGAGTTTTTAATATGCTGATTACATCAGAGAAAACCGTTGGTTTGAATGAGTTACCTTCAGCAGCTTGTTCCATTAAAAGTTTCTTTGCTTCTTCGGCAGAAGCTGCATCTTTCTTTTTCTTACCCTGGACCTTCTTTAGCCGGAAGAATTCTTCACGATCCTGCTCATCTAATTCCGAAACAATATATTTGATAGTATTTTCTATCTTTGGTATAATCACATATTCGATAGCGTTCACGCGACGGTTTGTTACTTTAATGACTTCGTCTAATATTACAAACGCTGTCTACGAGTGGTAAAGATAATTAAAACCAATCCAATCGGACATGGAACAACGGCCAAGCGCATGATGACAGTACCTGTAAGGAAGCCAACTCTACCAACATTTCTACTGCTTTAATATACGTTTCTTTACATTTTTGAACTTGCTGTCCACCACGTCCAAGACCGGTCAACTCAAACGCTACAAAAAAAGAATGATAGCATTCATAAATACGTGATGACTGAGACGCGCCGTGCAACAGGCAACATATACACATACCATTACTTCCTTCAGAATAACATTCGAAAGCAGGTAACATAACACCGGATACATTTTCCTGTTTAGTTCGCACTCGGAATTGAGCAGTTTTTGCACTCTCCTGGACCTGATAACTTTTTTGATCATAAAATCCATATTTAGCTTTCCCTTTTTATGTATCAATATCAGATTACCCACGAGCATCATACATTGAATCTACCTAATGTCCCCAGTAATGTAAGTCACTTCTGTGAGAGAGAACGAAGCAGCTTGCATGACCTTTGCCATTTTTAGTTTGGCCTTCAAAAATGAAAAGGTAACAGCGTCGAGATTCGGTTATGCAAGTGTCGCCAGAGTTACAAATGTTCTCAACAAACTGTATTTCTGATATTTGACTGACTTCGTTAATTTTCTGAACTATGACTCGAAACCTCTTTGCAAGCGCTTCACTTTTTCGCTTTAGCAAACTATGACCTGTCTGCGCTCCCTTCAATTTCGTTTTCATGGTCGTTAATGCCCTAAACGGATCAAAAGTAAAGTCCTGGCCATGAGCACAACTGTGAAGTATCGCAAAACTACGCTTGCTCATATCGAAACAGACAACATACATGCGTGTAGGAAAGATATTAAGCCTTGGGCCCGTTCCCGACATTTTTGCGCAATTTCACTCACCAGGAGAAACATTCAGATTGTTTGATAGATGATCTGAAGGGTTCAAATAACATTAGATCTGTGTACCGTGATGAACTGCGGATGGTGGTTTACCTGTTACTATCTCCATGAGTGCCAACGAACACCCAGCCGTGACTCGATTTAGAGAGTATTTGAGAATTAAAACGGTCCAACCAAATCCGGACTACGAGACATGTAGTAAATTTTTGTTAAGACAAGCCGAAGAGATTGGAATATCGGCAAAGGTTATTCGGGTACGCACACTAAAAATCCAATATGTTAAATCAAAGTCTATTGTCGACTTAATACTCTGATTTCAGTACGTCCCGGAAAAACCAGTAGTCCTTATGACTTGGGAGGGACGTGATCCGAATTTAAGTACACTGTTATTGAATTCTCATACGGACGTCGTCCCTGTATTCGAGGTGAGACATAATTCCTGCGAAATTGGCTTTTTTAGCAAGGCTGAATGACGTCTCGTCTGGAAAGCCCTCAAAATTATCAATCGGAACTTGATTCCGGAATCTTTTTCGTGTAAAATATATATTATACGTACATGGTATTAGGTTTTTACATGCTTATGTTGTAAATACAGGATCAATGGAATAGTGACCCTTTTGGTGCAGTAAAATTGGAGAATGGTGACATAGTCGCTAGAGGTGCTCAGGATATGAAATGTGTTGGTACCAGCTACCTCGAAGCAATAAGAAATTTGAAAGCGCAAGGAAAGCAACCCTTACGAACTATTCACCTTTCCTATGTCCCCGGTACCTTATTTATCATCTGACTTTTGCTCCACAATTTTGTCTCGCACCTTGCATATTTACGTTTTCTTCAATGTCGGATATAGATGAAGAAATTGGTGGAGCTGGCATGGAACATTTTATTAATTCGGAAGATTTTACCAAGTTTAATATTGGATTTGCGCTGGATGAAGGCATCGCCAATCCTAAGAACGCCCTAAAGGTCTTTTACGGTGAGCGAGCTCCGTGGTGGGTCAATGTAATCGCCAGAGGTAATGTTGGACATGGATCAATGCTTATTAAGGATACTGCGATGTCGAAACTGGTGAGTAGCCGACTTTTTCGCATTCATGAATCGGTTGATTTTAAGTGGCTGACAGTAAATTTATTGTTGTTACAACTCCCAGCATCGTATTATCAACAGGTTCATGGATTTCCGAGCAGCTCAGGAGAGACAACTGGAAATTGGTGTTCACCACAATGGCAAACCATACGCTCTTGGCGATGTTACTAGCGTAAATCTCACAAAGCTCCAGGTTAGCACGCTATTTAACTGTAGACCTTAATTAGCGATCATATCCGTTACTTGTCATTTAGATTCGCGTTCTTTACCTTCCAGGCCGGAGTACAGCATAATGTTATACCTGAAGAAGCTATTGCTGGATTTGACGTTCGCATCTCGCCAAGTGTAGATCTGAACAGGTTTAAACAAATGATGGAAGGATTCATACTTTGCGAATCAGAGTGAGTTCTAGGTAGAATTGTAATTTTATTTTCATGTTGCCGTAGTAACTTAACTATATATAACTTTAGTACGCGTATAGAGTATGTTCAGTATTTTGACAGTAACGATACGACGAAGATTGACGATAGCAACTTGTGGTGGGTGGCATTCAGAGATTATTGTAAGGAGCGGTAAGTCAAGCAACGGTTAGATGCCAAAAAATCAGTTATCTTTCCTCTTATTCTAATACTAATATAAACTGTTAATTAAATTAGTGACGTAGAAATCGAACCAGAAATATTTCCAGCAGCAACAGATTCCCGGCAGATTCGTGCAAAAGGCATTCCGGCATTTGGCGTCTCATATCTTAAAAATACACCGGTACTGCTTCACGATCATAATGAATATTTAAATGAAAAGGTTTATCTAGAAGGAATAGATTTCTATACTGGACTCATTGACCGCTTAGCAAACTTAGAGTCCATGTAACAAACTGTCATAACAAAACGTTTCGCGTTAATATTTTTCATCATTCATGCCAACAAAGAAATCTTGCCCCAACTGAATGTTATAAATTGCATCACTTAAATTGAGCTATTAGAACACGATAAGAACTTATACGGATCATTATTGTTTCTTTGACAATAATTGTATTGCGATAGAAAATGCTATTTGAACAGAAATTGCGTGCACGTACTGCACTTATATGAGTCTCTAATAAGAGTTATATACTAAACGCAAAGTTAATATGTAATGTTTAAAACTTCGAAACTCAAATTTCAAGCACAAGCAACTTTGTATTTATGATCGGGTAATTAAACCTTTTATCGCGGCTGAGTAAACGAAGACGTCTTGACAACATAAATAAATAATCGTAATTTTTTTTGCGTTACAAATACTAATTAAAACGATACAAAGCCTTAATTAATGTGGGACATGTCGACGGTTTCTTAAATTAACATCTGAAAAGGAAAAGGGGTTCTCATTCATCGATAAGAAAATCAAGCGTCTCTTCTTGAGGATGCCTCATCCAAGGCACGTTGTTTAATGCTATTTGTTCTCGAGAAACAGGAGCAATATTTCCAACGTCGGAAATGTCATAATTCGATCGAGAGATGTTGAAGCTGCCTGATATAAAAGCAGTTCGTAAGGATAACTATTCATTGAGCAATGTAAAATGTCTGAAACAAACATGGAACATAAGATATACCTTAATGGTGGAGTTTTGCATTCTTTATTTGTCTACACCTACGATTGAAACGCTAAAGGTGTATATACCTTAATGGTGGACATTCCAATGAATAAATATCTTTTCTTGCAAATCTGATGGTGCATCCTTCGGATCCTACATATGAATGCGATGCTTGATTCAATTTGAAATACTAACGACATAATAGGCATCTTCTCATTTCATTCGAATATACGTCTGCTTCCAAGCGTGCCATCAGCTAGTGGATAATCTAACACGTGATCCCGAGTATTCAAATGACCCGCAGAATTCAGCAAGGAACTATTTCTTTCACACCCCTATGCAAGAGCTTCCTGCAGAGATCCTCTTTATGATATTTTCACATTTTTCTGATTTATACTCTGATTTAATTTCCTGTGCACAAGTGAATAGAGTATGGCACGCCGTTGTAATAAAGTTTTACTTATGGCATACCGCAAGATTTTATTCGTTCTCTACATTCATGCATTTTCGAGATGTTTTAGCAAGGATCAAATGGAATAAGAGACAGAGAGCCAGGAACAACTGGAGGAGAATAGTGATGCAATCCGTTAATGGAAACAGTAAGGTCAACATAGATGCTACTAGAGCGAATGAGATGGAGAGCGAAGATGATGATAGTCAATGGACTTTTGATGGTTGTAATCCTACATCATTTCATTCAACTTTTCCATACGGCGCATGTGTAAAAGTGCTGGATTTGTCTAATCTGCAGTCCAAGAACAAGCTTACTGACTATATGCTTGATTCCCTATTTGAAAGCCTTCCCAACTTGATCGAATTGGACCTCTATAACTGTTATACTGTGACCGATAAATTGATTAAGAGACTGCCCAGCAGGTGCAGCAAGCTGCGTGTTTTAAATGTTTGTGGGTGCTCCAATTTATCTCGCAAGTGTATAAAATACATCAGTCGGATATTATATTTAGAACGTCTTAATATTGGGTGAGTATGAAAATAATGAAAATAAAGTTAGTGTTGACTATTAATATTAATTTGGCATACGAATAAAGTATCAGAGTTGCTTTGTTGTTGTAACACCATTTATTGAATTATATTTAGCCTATGTCCACTGATGTGGGTTGAGAAGCTAAGCATAGAATTCGACTACCATTGGAGCGAGCTTGTGATGTTTGAATTGAAGAACAGCCCGTTTGCGAGGGAAAAGGATGTTCTAAATATCGTGATACATTCGCCTAAACTGAAGGAAGTCGTTCTAACGATGGATATATCGGGAATAAGTTTGGCAAGAGAAATCAAGAGAGCTGCTCCACAAGTAAACGTTGTATTAAGAAGATAGACGTAATAAAACATGATGCATATGGTCATGTTTTTTAATTTAAGACAAGCAGAATACCCGGTCATCCATTGATAAAGAGCGTGGTATTCAATTAATACTATTCGTATTTTCATTGTAATTCGCATATGCCCGATAAGACTGCTAATATTGACAATTAATAATACTGTACTACGCCAATCCTATATTAATCGAGCTCATGTGTTACGAACTTAATACTTAACAAGAAGGAATCCCTGAACTGAATACATGTTCACCATATTAGTCAATGTAAGTTGACCACAAGATTACTTGTAGGTAAATTCATTGTAGACACTGAATTCAATAGACAAGAAGCGTAGTCCAATATTGTTCATGACGAATTAACGAACACAATCGGGAACAGAGAGTCCATAAACCTCAACACAAGAATAAATTAAAGCTGTCCATCGTTTTCGCCTCTAATTGGCGCCTAACATACCGTCTTCATCCTATATGCACTAAAAGGCCGATATGTTGATTGGGTGCACAAACATCGCCTCTAACCAACCTTGGCATTTACTTAATTGCCTATCTCTCATCCTACGGTATACAAACACCAATGATTAATCAATTATAATCCAACTACCAATCAGTTCAGAAAACTTTTAAATAGACTCGAAATCACATTCTATATTCTTATCATTCTTTTGCTTCCTCACCTTCCAACACCTCCTCTCGTTTCTTTCTTTCACACCCCTCACTCCCATTAAATTCACCCTCATTTCAACTAGGAAGACAATTCTGTCATTTTCCAATTAACTTCTGTGAAGTTATTAAGAAAAAGACATCCCATAATACATTGTAAACTGCACACTCTCTTTTTCGATATAGAAGAGAACACTCTACTTACAAACCATATTATCACATATAATGACCACAATGAAGACTTCACTCTTCGCCCTTTTCATTGCTTGCTTAATAGGTAATGTATATGGTATTAGTGACAAGAAATATTTCTCAAATGCGGGATTGTTGAACTAACAATTAGGTTGACTCTGTCATTTACGATGGAAACTCTCTCTTTATCGTTTAGTTTTATCAACCGCTATACCTCTGAAAGATGTCTCTTCAACCTCAATAACTGTTACAGAGTCCAACACAACTCCTTCATCAGAGCGTTTTGCCGTCACAGTCTCCCGCATAGATGACCTGCTCGACGATGATGGTTCACTTGTTGCAGAACGTCTTATGTCTGTAATAATGTCATTCGATCTTCATGACAATGAGCTTCTTCTCAACGGAGTACCGATTACACTTGGCGCACAGTCAATAGAAGTTATCCAGGCTGAGGTTGCCATTACTTCCCAGGAGAAAGTCGATCTCGATAAACAGTTCGACGTTGGATTAGTGACTGTTGAGGTTGAATCTAAAGCAGAGGCTATTCAGACAGAGGATCAGAACGTTGTACTTAGAAGGATTAATGTCTCTACCAGAGTTATAGAAATCGATGGACAAGAAGTCATACAAACCGAGTCCACTGAGAAAATCTTCGAAGTTAAGACCTATGCAGTGTTCGAGGATGATGAAGAAGGATTCGAAGCTATTCCTTCAGGCTCTTTACCTGTCAAAAGTTCCTGTGGATCACGTGCTGTTTCTAAGATTAAGCACTGGTGGCGTAGGACTTCTCGACTTACACGTATTTTGGTCGGTTCATTCTGCCTCACTTTTATACTTGGTCTTCTCACTATCGTCATAGCATACACCGTTGTCCTCATTAAGGGTAAAGTGTGCCATCGGTCATATGAATCGCTGGCTGATGAGATCATATTTGACCAGGTCATCTACATTGCTGATGAAGAAAAAAGGGCTTTGATGGAAAAGGAAGAGGAAAATAAGAAGTAAATACACGTGACGGGTAATCAAAATAGAGTTAATTTATTGAACGTACGTTTTAATATTTATAAGGGGATTAGTATGATCTCCGGATCTTCTGTAATTTCACGTTTGTATTTGATAAGGATAGTATAAATTGCGTAATTTTATGTTGTCCAATATTTTTTCTTCTAAGTGAACTAGGAAAGGGAAAAGAGCCTGGAGCAAACAGCATTAGGAAAGGCCATGGACTATTCCTATGTGCAATTGTTCTTTAATAATGTTGTCAAGGATCCTTTTCTGATGTGTGATTTTTTAGGCTCCGTTGTAAATTCTACATTGCATAAATGAACTTTATTAAACCATTATAAACTCTAACCTGCGCCATGAATTTATTACTATGTAATGTAGGCCTTCCAAATTATGCACTACTGCATATATCGATACTAATCCTTATAGACGTTACTTACCTACCTGCACATCCTAGATTTGAGATTATAACTTATAGTTGGAACAGAATATTTCTTTCCCACTAAATTTTTCAAATAATTTGTGGGATTCATGTTCTTTCGTGCTTTCTACTAAACTCTCTTGTGATGAATTCCTTGCATCTGTCTCAAACATGTTCGATTGATTGACTTAAGGTCTGGACATGGTGATTTTTCGTCTGTCCACTATGACAGGCTTTTTTAGTATTCTATTAATATTCAAAGTCAAATTCGTTAGTCCATTTTAACAACAGGTTTGCCTCGTTTGTTCGAGATTTTACGATTAACCTCAATCTGTTATCGAAACATGTCATATAAAAATCACTAGAGAATCGCTTGGCGAAAGTACTCGAGATTGAAAGCAAGCGACAGGTGCATATTGATACGTCAAAACATTGCCCTACGCTGACATAATCAAGAAGCACATTTAGCACACATACATAGCTTGAAAACCAATAATTATTGTTTTCAATAGTACGTTCCAAATTCCGTTGATCCGAAACTGTCACCAATCCGAAGATAAAGCTTCGGTCCTGTTGACTATGTAGTAAAGATGCATGAGATACTCGGTAGAACAACAGATGTTTAAAAGGACGCGAAAAAGATTGGTGAATCCTGTTACAAGGATAATATTATAATACTTCAAGTCCGCGAATTGATAACATATGGCTTTAAAAACGCTTGTTTTGTCTTTCAGAAGACGAGATTGCGTTTCTCGATTGCACAGGTTTAATCTCAACTATGGCTCGTGCAGTTAATCCACTTAATGCTTACTATTGCTCACTGTTTCTTCGGAAAATTATTGGGTAACTGAATATAAATTTTTACTGAACAAACAATTCTGGCGTCTCATTCTCAACAAGCCGAGCAGTACGCTTGACATTCTCGTCCCAATCTTCTAGACGTCGTCTCATACCGTCAATTTGATTTGTATCTAGAACACGTGGCTGTACCCATGTGACCACGACTAATTCGTCAACTTGATCAATTGTTCCACGGATGAGCTTGAGACAGAGAGCTTTCATGATTAAAACTTCAACCTGTATTGGAAAAAACGTATTAGAAACATGGTAATTGTGAGACGAGGAAATAAAATATTAGCATCTCTTATAGCATTACCTCATCGATACGCATTCTAGTCTCGGCTGCAATACTAGTAAATGGAATGGTCCTGTTATCTGCACTTCTCCTAAACACGGCTTCGATGAGTGACATTAATCGAATCTTTTCGAGTAAATGTCCAAAGTTCTCTGTAAATAACGACTGCGGGAACAATAAACTTGTAAGCAAAGTTCTGACATAAGAGAGATATTACGAATGATCATAACTGCGCATTAAATTTACACCATACCTGTTTTGCAAAGTATGGTTGCAATGATTCAAATCTGCCATAGTCTCCAGCATTGAATGCCAATAACAATGCTCGTAACCACTCGTGTTCTGTACCTGACAGCGAGTCAAGAATTGGGTGCATTAACTATGCAACAGAAGGATAACGTGAGTTGAAGATATCCTAAGAGAGACGAGTATAATCGTGGTGAGCTTATGTACGAATAACTCACTAGTTCCCCAAAATTGTAAATTGTGTCCCCTAGTAAGGCGCAAAGAGCAAGGTCATAAGCTCTATCAATTCTTTCTTTAATGGGAACATCTTCAAGCTGGATGCAAGCAAGATACAACAAAGCGTTCTTGTAATAACCGGCATATTCTCCCTTTGCCTATAAGATAGAAAGCGACAGACGACATTAAAAATATCTTCATATGTTTATTCACTATGATTAAAACTCTGCCGATTGATCAACACCAACAATCTTTCATTCTTAACGTACCTTGTGGAAATCAGCACTTACACGGTAAAAACTCGCATAAATCACAGTTTCGACGGAATCAAAAGTATCAAGAATCTTTTGAGACTCATCAATTGCTTTTTTTGTACCCTCCAGATCTCCTAGTAGCAACTTTTTAAACGCCGTCTCCATCACAGCGAGAACATAAACATCTTGCGTTTCTGGTTTACTAACTCTCTCCACTAACGAAGTCAAAAAGGCCAAGGCCTCATTGTTGTCTACCAAAGTAAATGTAGACAAATTAATACCGAGATGGTGAACAAACGGAAAGCAGAACTACATGAAATACCATTAAATTGCTTTGACGCAGTCAATCCAAGTGTGACCAATTTGAGTTTATTCATTTTATTTTCCCAATCAGAAATAAAGTTCTGAAAAAGAGGAATTTGGAATTGACCCGATGATGGCAATGAGAAGAATTCTTCAATCTTAAGTGTAAGCTGGTGCCATAGTCTGATTTGAGATGGTATAAGTTAGTTTGATTGGATACATGATAACTTTCTGACATGGCGAGTTAGAAGAAGAAATTAACTTATTCGAAGACTGCATTAAATCATAATCCTAATCTTAAATGGCGCATGGAGATTATCAACCGATTAGCTTCGCTTCTTAGCATCAACTACAATCTTTTAATACCCAACACTTCGCGACAACAAAGAATACGTACGTTACTCACTTCCTTTCATACAAATCCTCAAAAGTATCAAAGTAATCTTGAAGTTCACCGGACGCATGCTTTCGCAGCCCTCGGAGAGCTACAATTGGATTTTGGTCCAAGTCCATTTGTTGATACATAGTCGACATAATTATAGTCTAAAGATGTGAAGCGTGGCTTTAAAATTTTAATGGGGTAATGTATTAGTATACGTAATTGTAATTGCGTAACACATAGAAGGTCCCTTATAGGGTACCAATTAAGAAAAAGGGTCAGAAATTATATGCAGCATAGTGTCTAATAGTTAAATCTATTAAAGCATAGTTCTCGATATTCATACTTCAGCAATGAATAGACAATGATGTCCTACGAGATATCGTAGCTATTAAGAGTTAACCACTATTATTATTATTACTGTGTTGGTACTAACATAAGTCTGATTCCACAAGTACTAGCAGGTAACAAGGCCAGCAGTAGAATTCATGATAAGACTCTGATAACAATGCGACTGCGTTGACAAAAAGTTTAACTACGAAAAGATTTTATCACGAGAATACAGCAATACATAAATAATCGGCGACTATATAGTCGTCTTTTAATTAATGGCGATGAAAGATTCATTATCGTGTTTACAAATAAGACTGTTGTTGCTCTTGTGGTTTCACACATCGTCGTGTACACAATACATAATTGACAATGTAGGCAGTAAAACTAAGTTTATTTCAATTTTGTGTGCAATTATTTAAAGACATTCAGTATAAAACTAACGCGTCATCATCAAAGAAGAATAAATAATCGATATTTACAAAAAATAATAATGTAAAAAAAAAAAATGGAAACGCAATAATCATTACAGGATCCACACTTAATGCGCGAGCGTCTAAATGTCCCTCCAGTACTCAAATTCTATGGTTCCGACAATGGGATTAATACATCGATGATCGATGGTTTCTGATAGCCCGAATAACTCATTTCCGTCATTGTCCGGGATAACCGGGAGGAGGGTTGCTAGATGGTGGAGGAGGGTTGCCAGATGGTGGAGGAGGGTTACCAGATGGTGGAGGAGGGTTACCAGATGGTGGAGGAGGGTTACCAGATGGTGGAGGAGGGTTGCCAGATGGTGGAGGAGGGTTGCCAGATGGTGGTGGAGGAGGGTTGCTGCCGGGATAACCACTGTTAGGATCAGGTGGATAATTACTACCGGGAGGCGGCTGACTACCGGGAGGCGGCTGGCTACCGGGAGGGGGAGGAGTATTTGGAGGAGGAGGAGCACCGGAACTACCACCATAGGGGGGAGGATTGTAGGTGTCGTCTCGTCTGTGATATTGATATTGGTCCTTTATGCGTTTAACCTCAGCACCGAATCGTCGTTTGGAGCCGCGAATCCTATTGACACCGCCCCGAATCCTATTGACACCGCCCCGAATATCACTGACATTATCAAGCGGAGCAGCAAAGACAACCGTTAAACTGATGAGAGCGAGATAAGCGAAAACCAAGGCGAAGATTGATTTCATCATTTGATGTTAGAAATACTTGTTTTAACAAGTGCGGAGACAATTTGTTGCCCGCTGATGATGCTTTTATAAACTTTTCAGCGCGTACTCTGCCACATAGTCCATATGCCGAGAACCGTCACTCTGCGTCATGACATGGCTTTTGACCGTGGCTATGTGAGTGGCTATGTTTATTCAAAAAATACATTGTGTAACGAATAAGTAAATCCTCAATTATTTTTAGCCTATTTCTAGACTGGGAAAAGTCACCAGCCATAACATTGTTGCACACAATCGACAAGTTTAAGAAGAAATGCTGAGCTTCCCTCTATAGACACAGCCGTGACAATCCTTTTGTGGAATAATTTGATCGGGGTCCAACAGATGAATGCATCAAAAAGACGTGGGGCAGACATGGCGGGCCAAAAATTGGAAGGAGCGAAGCATTGGGTTGAAGCCATGGAAAAACAGTTAAACGCAGGATCATCCTATACCTTTAATGCTAAATGGCAATTAGCAACTTGACAATGAAAAGAGTAAGGCTAAAAAAAGCCGTTACCATCACGAAAAGGATTAATTGAAAATGATAAACTGTAAAGTTAGGTCTGAAGTGGCATTGTTCGTAATAACCAAGCCATTTCAAGCAGCGGCTCAGCCTGTAGTAGAAATTGAATTTAGAGCACAGTTCAAAGCCACGAATGACGGCAGCGCCACATTTTACAGCATATAGTACTACTAACTATTCAGACATACGGAAGCAAAAGCTTTGAATGTGCTGACATCTTATTCTACTACAGTTTAGCATGATGTCCATCTATTATTTATCTTTTTTATCTTTAGTATTTTCTTCGCTAGGTGGGGAATTTGGATAATTTGTAGCAATAATTTTGATAGCCAAACAGGTCTCTGCAGTCGACGAATCCCTCCTGCAAAGTAAAAATACAAACTGCAATTCTAGGGCGAAGTTGTTTGCTTCCACACAGCCCATAATAAAAATGTCGCGGCTGATGCTGAAACTAACCAATGGGGTTAGAGAATAGAATGTGATCAATCACCCACGATCCTTCTAAATGTTTCTATAGCATATATTTGCACACCTGCAGACACCCCCATAGTTAAAGGGGAAGCTTGTTTCCAGCGATCGATCGATTTGGGGATCGTCCATATTGATTGAAACAGGTGAAGGAATACGTTTCTTAATTTTGTTGCAAAAACGTGGCGGCATGTGGATTTGTATAAACACGGATTTATAGATAATATAAATCGCACAAGATAATGTATGGAAGAATTAAGAACAACTAGTTTAATCAACTTCCTTAACCGGGAAATTCAAAGACACTTGTATAGGTAAGTACTGTATGTGCTGTTAAATTCACAACATTAATTCTTTCAAGTTATTCATTCCAATAACAATATCTGCCAACGTTGGTTCAAACGATCATAATAAGTTTGTGCTCATAATCGATTGAAATGCTTACGTACTTTGCGTACGTGATATATTTGATTGAGACAGTTTCTGGCATTATCAGATTAAATATACCCAGAATCATTGTAAAGAGGTTATACGACGAAAGTATAACAAACCAATATAAAGAGTTCCATATCTTATTCGTAATACCAATGAATATAGGAAAAGGTCATTGCAACAGTTCGTGAAACATTCTGTTTAGGCCTTAATGCTTCTTTTGTAAAGCTGTTTGTAATAGCGGCAAGTACGAAGATTCAATGCACTATTATTGGAGTGATAAGTCTCTGTAATTACAAGCGAGTCTTGTGCCACACTGAAACCTGCTTTGCTATTATATTTGTTTGTAAATTATCACCGGTTTCATTAAACCCGTGATTAATAATATTAAGTGAATGATTAAATACCATTCAATTATTTGCTCGCATAAACTTTTTTAGCTGATGCAGATCGACGCGTAGTGCTCGTATCTATCCACGTATTAAAATGACTTGATAAACGTATATATGAGAAGCTGCTGAGCTTTCCTAAAGATTGAGTCGGGTATCCTGTTGTGTGCTTTAATTAAACGAATTAGAATTAAATATTCTGACGACTCTTTCAATCGTTAACAGATAACTTTCGGACTAACAGCATTCATGACCTTTGGTGTCCACACTACTTCTTGACTTCTTGAGTACTAACTTAAAGAATTGTTATCTGCTTTTGGATTAACAATTGTTGTATTTATACTTTCATGCTGGTCAGGAAAAGTGAGGGGAAAGATTCACAAGCCGTCTGATTTATTGACAACTATTGATGCTGCGCCGATTAATATTGTTACAAAATAATTGCACCGCACCAAATGCAAATATGTACTCTTTGACTAAACCCTGAGTGTCTTCTGACCACAAAAATAATAATGTGAGTCGTTTCCCAGGACATGAGCACGTTCTCAAACAGCAGTACTTTGAGTGCTTAGGAGCAAATTACCGAGTGTCTACCCCAAGCATACAGATCAAATCGCAGAAATCAAAACTATGGCTGGCCGCAGGTAGGTAACAACATAGTCTAGGTAAGTGACAATATACGTATTGTTACCTATTCATTATTACATCATATTGTATCTCTTTATCTCTCGTTTCTTTGTCTAAGCTAAACAAACGGCATAGATTGCACAGCACGTTTGTAACCAATCTATTTAACGGTTCTGGGTCCATCTGCATGCTATGATAAATATTACAGAATGTACATCTTTAAATAACTTCATACGATGCGGGTGGATGATCTGTAAGATAGAAATACAGTGGTAATGGGGTCTGTATAACATTGTTGTTTGCCAATTATGGTGTAGAAGATGATGGTATTATAATAAATTTGGTCGATCTGGTGTTTTCGTGTTCTTTGGTTAACTTTATGTTATGAGAGGGACATTGTCGATGAACTTGAGGTCGTATTTAGCATTTACTACAAGAGACTCCACGAGAGACTTATCGGTATGTCAATGGTCACCCAGGTGGAGCAGTAATATAAGTCCAAGGTCGCCGTCATAAAGAAAAAGAAATTATTGACATATTAATGTGGTCTCAATCTCGTGACATGAGCAACGAAATTCAGGGGTCCGTTACATTAGTTATTGTAATTATTTATTTTATGTTTAGTGGTTGCCAAATCTGCCGCGACAACCGGCACTCTCACAAACCACTTTCCTTAATAGGATCACAGCGTCAAACAAAGCATTTACTATTACTATTCAATAATTACTTAAATACGCATTACTTGACGCTCATCCTTGACTGAGCAATATAAACTCGCAAAAACTCTTTATATTAGAATTTATAGAGCATAGATGAAATAGAGAAAACTATTCAAAAGAGAAAAAAAATCAAACAAGCAATAAAACAAACCAATACTGTACATATAACAAAGAGATTTGCATCAATTCTTCACAAAGCCACGCTTAGCTCTTTTTATTCATTATCCATAATGGGGAAAGTCTACTCAAAAGGAAAGGTGCATTCAGTATCGGTCATGGGTGGTGTCCAACTACTGCGCAGGCAGCGCTCCAGGTCGCCAAGGGATTCCCCCGGAAGTCCATCTTCGCAATCATTTTCTTCCGACTCGATCACTTCAACAGATTCTGAAATCTCGTTCGATGAGGACGACGGCTTTAAAACATTGGTGGAACAGAAAAAAGCCCAGTTTGCCAAAGCTGGGTACATGTTTCCTATAAGCGAAAAGGAGATCGACCGGCTACAAACATTACATTATATGTTTAGGTATTTCTGGGGAAATAACTTTTCATCGCCTATGGAAGGGGTTTTGGCCAAAGAAAATGCCAAGATATTAGATATCGGGTGAGTAAAAACCTATAATGAATGGATCGGGTTACTACAGCAAATATTAAGAGATAGTACAGTTAAGAATCGACAGGTTGTGATAATTACAATTATGCACAAGTTATTTTAGGAATTAGAGTTTCATGTACTTCGACTGACAATCAATCACAAATTGGCGAGTTACTAATCGTTTCTATACTCCTTTACAACTGTTTAGCTGCGGACCAGGAATTTGGATTCTTGAATGCGCCACAACCTACCAATCCAGTTCTTTCACAGGAATTGATATCGCTGCCTTGTATCCCGCGGAAATTAAACCCCGCAATACGGAATTTCTCAACGTAAATATCTTCGATGGTCTCCCGTTTGAAGATAACACATTCGATTTTGTGCACCAGAGATTTATGATGTTTGCATATACGATCGATAAATGGCAAGAAAAGGTGTTGCCCGAACTGTTGAGAGTGTTGAAGCCAGGAGGCTACTTAGAATTGATGGAGAATGACATTGTCTGGTATGAGGAGGGACCCTTGTCACACAAGTTTAGAGAGCAAGGTGAGTTTGTTGAGAAATGGGGGGGGGGGGGTACGTATATTACAAGAAGTTGAAAGATTCATTTATGAGAGAAGAGGCAGCGGATTTTCCAATGTATTCTTCTTTTGTATAATCACAAAATGCTAAAATCACTTTTTTCACTATCCAGTTCTCCATGCAATGCGCGACCTGCAAAATATAGAGCTCGTTCTCTCGTCTCACATTCCAAAATGGCTTTCTCATTTTCCCTGTCTATCTCAAATTCATCACGATTCTCGCAAAGCACCCTTCGGATCCTGGGCAGGCGGAGTGGGAAAGTTTCACCTGACGAGTAATAAGTGGGGGGCGGTGCATATGTACGATGCAGTTGACGGAGTCGGCCTAAACAAAGAGGAATATTTGGAGACGATCGAGAAAGTTATGGAAGAATGCGAAGGAAGAAAGGGATACCTAATGAGCCATAGGTACTGGGTCAGAAAGAAGATCGAGTGATGGGAACACTTTTGAAAGTGAACTATAAAAGTATGATAGAAATATATGTATTTGTATTTGCATTTGTATATATACATATGTATTTGTGTGTATGTATTTGGATAACCTACTGGTCACGATGAGCATTGATATACTATTATTATTGCATGCATTTGTATTCTTTTACTATTCAATTTTTCATATGTTTGATATTGTGCAAAATTACCATGAATCTTTTCTAAGGGCTGTTGATATATTATTATTTATGGTTTGGCATATAGTGTTTATACGTGTAATTAATGTTAATATATTTAAAATATGACTTGTTTATAATAAAAGCATTGTAACTATTTCGATCCTAGTAATAGTCGTCTACGATATGGCAAATTGGACACGTTAATCTATGATTTTTATTGGATCGGACAATTAGGAGAAATTCAAGTAACTTGTGTGTGTCACGCTTCCTTTATATGTTTATTATTATGTACGTCTAACATATACGCCGTCTTTTTTTGGATGCATCACCAACCAGATTTGTCAATTTCTTCCATTTATGGATTATATATATGCAGAAAAACAAGCTCATGTTGATGAAGACATCTTTCAGTGGGCAGGCTTGAAAATTTATAAGCTTGTACAGATGATCGTAATTTGCGCTCATCGGAGTTAAGAGGAATATTTTATGACAAGTCGCAACTATACCAAAATTAAATTAATCGACAGACTTGCTAACTATGTATAGAGTCTTGTTAGGTCTACAAATAGAACGCTTTCGGGTCAAATACCAGCTATGCCAGTTTAACTAAAACATGTTGGGTATGCTACGAGATAACTGATTTTCCGGTTAAGCATAATTTCTCATTCGTGGGAGTTGATTTATTTTCTCGTAGCTAACTCATTGGCAGTAAAGTATACGTGGGATACTCAATCAGCTGTCACATAGAAGAGAGATAAATCGAAACGCGATATTTCTGATTCTAAGAAAAGCACGAGTAATCGTACAGTCGTGACTCAATGTTTGAGCATCATTCTTTAATAATATGCTTGCATAATCCAATCTCCAACTCACTTGGTTATTATACTATTCCTATGGAATTCTATGCATTAAGAACTAATGTTATATTTCCTGTTAAGTGTTTCGAGTTTGTTCTAATTGACAACTGTCCAACCGGCCGTAATGTGTTTACTTATTATTACCGCTACCAATAACGCTTCCGACTACATTTCCGTTGTTTCCATTACCTTTGATGCCACCAATTGCTGTAATACTAGAATCACCATCGTTTCCGCTACCAATTACGCTTCCAACTATATTTCCATTGTTGCCATTGCCCTTAATGCCTCCAATTGCTGTAATATCAGAGTCAGCTAATTTGTCTTCAACAACTACCACTTTTGCGGGAGGATAGCTTCGGAAGTCGCCTTTGCCAGTAGCGATGATACCACTGTTGACAATATTTCCCTGTGCATTGCCATCATTTTGAGTGCCTTGAATACCTCCAGCACCCGAGATTGGAGAACCATCTTTGCCAACGGCAATGATGCCACTATTGACAATATTTCCTTGGTTGTTGTTCTTATTATCAGTGCCTTGAATAATTCCGGCACCCTGGACTCCTGAAGCGACAGGACTTCGCGGGTAGTAGTCGTGGTGTCGGACAAGCAGAGGGTTAGCAATGCTGGTGGTAGTGGTTAGAATGGCTGCAAGCGTAAATATGTAAATGATCTTCATGATTTGGATATCCAATATTGCGAGTATAGGGAGTAGTTCAATGCTTTTAACTAACAATCGCTGGCAGATGTCCGATGTTGCCACTCCCTCCACCTGTTTATATATACCTCTATCGCCATCTGTTGCCTCTGGTACGAGATAAAAATAACTAATCGAATTGGGATTGAGATTTCGTATGTGGGAACCCAGCTGGTTGGCTAGTCAAAAAAGAAAAGATAAAGACAGTATTTTTAGTAACAAACAATAGCTTTCTTTGGGTTTCTGAGTGCAAAACATTCGTGATCGAATTTTGGAATTATTTTGGCTCAACGCTATTATCGCTAATATCACGACTGGAAGTTTGAACCAAGTGCATTTTTTATTCACAGTTTAAATGTATCGATACATTTGTTTACATCAAAAATAGACTACGCATCTCAGAAATAACCTTTACCAATTAAACAATAATATCGAGAATATACTACTTACTGGAATAGTGTAGCAAAAATTTCTGAGCGTGTTTGCTAAATACCAAGACGAGAATAGGTGTATGGTCTATATTGGTTTTGAATTGAGCTATCGTATGTTTAGGTATTGTATGCCGATACTCGTGGTTCGATATCACATTATATACATGCACTAAAGATTGCCGTATGGAATGTTTCTTTGTTAACATCACGTTGCCTTAATGCAGCCGTATGTCATTTCTATCTTTCAATAGCATGATTCATTTTACAAAATAATATGTATAAAATGTTTCGCCTCGTATAGTAGCATCTCACGTAATTCATGTTTTCCCAACCATCTTGACTTTTCAATCTTGATAATGAGGAAAGTATCAACAGAGGAATATCAGGACGTTCGACTAACTACAGACAGTGAACACATGAAAGTCTGAAGTATGGGAGTGAGAAAACAAAGTATAATCCTGAGAGAATTAGATATCAGAATTGTGTTCCGTAATTAGCGTTTTGCGCCCGGATAAATATAGATCATTTAGTGACGCCAAAGAATCGTGGGAATATTAAAGTAGACATTAAATTAGCTGCTCGTAATTCGTAAACACGGTAGAATAAATAGAATTAGCGTCCTTTAAAGATTGATTTGATTACCGGAATATAGATAAGTACTAATTATAATTAAGATTAAAATTTAATCTGCGGAACAAAGACACGTCATACATATCTATCCATTTAGTTTCCGCGTACTCTTTATATAAACTCTTCTCTATCTAGTGTTTATCTCTTTACTACGAATTAGTCTTCTCTGCTCAATCACCTGTAGAAAGGTTGCCGCAACACGGCAATTTACACTGCAGTAACAGTAGATTGGCATTCTCATTTTACAGCACGCTATTTTAATTTGCGTCATGGCGCAATTGTAACACAAATAATATTATTAACGTGTAATTCCTCACGCTAATTATTCGAACGTCAGAGGAATAAATAGAACAAGAGTTAATAATCAACAGATCGCAATATACTGTTTACGGACACTTTCTTATTATGTAAATGTCTGCCAATTGTTGCCACATCTAAAAGTATGAGTGATAACAAAACGATATGTCGCGAAACCATGGGTAAATCTGACCTCTAAAGAAACAATATTCTTTATGGTCACAAGATTGGACATTCCTTGGAAAGATAAGAAATCTCGATCAATTCGATCGCTCTCAGGTCCTGACCTTAACTCAATAGAAAATCTATGACATGGGATTAAACGAAGGCTTAAGAAAAACTTACTGGGCTTGAACGACTTTTGAAAAAAGTTTTTTTTGGAGGTCGATTCCTCAAGATAAAATATGCCACGACGAGTTCAAAAATCAATTCAATAGTGTAGAAACACGTTTTATTCTTGTAAGACATCGTACCGTAGTTAAAAAAGTGTCTAGTGTTAGACTAGGATAGATTTCCATTCCTGCGTTTTGATATCCGAAAAAAAAGTCACTTTACATTTGTTTGACGCTGAATAAACCTTCGGCAAATTAATAGTGCGGCACGATTGAAATTCTCGTATCGCAAGCGAGTCTGAATAATTGGATTCACTAATAGCGTCTCATATATGCACAGGTTTATAAATAAGGACTCAAAGCAAGTAACGGATGCAAATGCCTGAAAGGTGATGATATCAAGTAAATTGTATCAAAGTACCCAATTCTGCATTAGATAGCAGACTTCTGAATGAAAGAATACAGTGGAGGTTTTACACTAGCCTCTGATGTAATATTATTCAGATGTATATGATACAGAAGATGAGTTGTAATGTTACACGGTTACGATATCCATAACCTAATGTTGTAAAGTAATATATATATAAGCTCTCGGATTTTTCATCCATCTATTTGGATAGTCACATGGCTAAGATTATACTTCTTCTTTAACAAATATCTAGCTTGCTGGAGAATCTTCGCCGGAGAAGGAGGAGATGAGTGAATATCAGGATCATACTGGTGAAGTCTGATATGAGCAGTTAGGCTTGCCTAAAATGAAACAAATTAGCTTACGCAAATTATGACAATAGTTGAAACTATTGAAGTACTGACCCTGCCAACAGTCAATTCCCATACTGCCATGCAATTAACAGATACATTGAATATTAGCGAAAAAATTAATATGTTACAATTTGCCAAATTTACCGAAAAAACTCACTGTGTAAGTCGTGTATATTCTTTACGCCTTCTATATTCTCTAAATCTTGCCTCACAGCTTGGCAATCAATATGTGATGGAGTGCCTAATCATAAGTAATTAGCTTCAAACTTCTAGATTTATCATATCTTGCATGTGTCTCCACTCACCTTCCATCAGTATTCTAATACCAGCCCTCAAGACACCGAACGTTGTGGCTATCACAAGCGCGGAGAATGCAAATGTGCATATAGGGTCGACCCAAACTTTATCCGGGCTGACCATTATAACGATGGCTGAAATGAGGACACCTATTGACGATAAGAGATCGCCCAAGACGTGCAACATTGCAGCGCTAACATTAATACTGCCTTGGTTTCTACAGGTGGTTTCTTCCAACACCTGGTCGTGATTATGATTATGGCCATGGTTAAGGTTATGGTCATGGCCGTGTTCGCGCAATATAAGCATTAGTCTGATAAAGCGATAATGAGGTTAATGATATATAATACAAGATTACATGATGATGGTAACAAATTGTGTGAGATATGACCAATTTTCAATTGACTTACACGACATTAACACCAACTCCAATGGCCGCGATAAGACACATAGTCTTACCGTCTATCTCATGAGGATTTTTCAAACGTTCTATTGCTTCCATTACAAGATACCCGGTTAGGCCCCAGATTATGAATACTGAAATAAGCGCACCCAAGATCTCAGCACGATGATAACTAAAATAGAGTAAGCGAAGATGGCGGCCTATGTGTCAGCAGTAAGGTCATCTGTATCTTTATGAGTGTGAAGATATCCATACTAACCCATAAGAGAGATCTACAAAGCAAAAAACTCATTTAGTTGTATCAGAAATTAAGATTGATTATTGCCACTTGAAGTACTTACTCTTAGTCGCCGGTCGTCGTGCGAGATATATTGACAGAAGACTTATTGCAAAACTGACGACGTCTGAGGATATCGCCATTAAATTAGTCACCATGCTAGCATAACGTCCGATCCAGTCGGCTAATTTTCTTCTTAATATCTGATTTGCGTCACTTACCACTTAGTAAATGAAACGAATCGCTGAGAAGGGCCAGACTCCCCGAAATGAACCCCCCCACTAGTTCACATACGAAAAATATTGATGACAATAATATTGCGCACCATAACTTAAACGCATATTTGTTTGGACCTTTATATATCCCTTCATGGTCGTCATCACTTAATCCGCATCTATCGTCATCACCATCAAAATGAGGGCCTTCGAATGATGTATAACATAACAGAGGAGCTGAAGCAGATATTTCTGTTGGATTATCAGTATACGGCTCATATATCTCATCAGAAACACTTGATTCCGATGTCTCGAAATTGAAGACTGCGTCGTTGGGTGAAGCGATATGCATAGGCGAGCCAGGAGAAACGAGATGTCTGGAACCATTCTCTCTGTTTATTTCGAGTTCGAGGGTTTCTTCTTCCAGAGAATTATTTGATGCGCTCATTTCTTTTTTCACAGATTCTAAAATAGTGGCTTCACGTAAGTGAGGGAGGGGCAAGGTAATAATAATAGTCGAAAACAATACACGGGGAAATGAGATCCAATGGGAAAGCGGTAATAAACAATTCCAGGGGTGTTTTAACTATCAGTCGAGCCATTGCTGGAAATACTCAAGCTTATAGCGTCAACGAGGTATAAAATTATCTTTGGGACAATGCGATAGTTTAGTCCGATATAACGATAAATTTGTCCAAAACAACCTTATTGTTATCAAATTTGGCTCGCCACATCATAATATCACAATCTTAACTATTAGATCGATACGTGTATGGTATAGTAATAACTAATGTAGCAATATATTTCTATACCCAATGTTTGTGCGATCAATAACTTCAATGTCTAAGAGCCAATCGGCATCTAAGAGCAAGAAGGTGATAATATGAAAAACGTCATGAATGTCATACGCAAGCCACCTTATCCCAAACTCCAATTATATATCGAGGTTGGAATTTCAATCAACCATAATATATATTAATATACGACCAACGAAGAATTAACATAAAGTATTGGATGCAAATACACTAACCATAAAGCCGCACCTCCAAAACATAATATTAATACAGAGCTGTCTAGCAAGTGCAGCTACGGCCTTAATTGACACGTAGCAAGCCCGCAAGCTAAATTTGAGATATCACAAAAGGTTTGCCTGCCGTATGTCTTACAGATTGATCGGAACACATATATCACCAGTTTCGTCCTTCAGAATGACCAGGTTCGAGCTCTTAGGCATGAACATCACACGCCGTATCATATGCATAACCTACATTAATATGAAAAGTACAAAGGGCAAAGAGTCTACTTTCGACAGGTCACTGTCACCTTTATTAAACCAGATATTTACAATAAATTGATATTATAACAGTTTGCAGAATAGTGGATTACCAAAAATTCTGAAGTTAAAAATACTCTAAGTATTCCCGATTTATTGTGATTTTAACTTTGCTAAGAATTGCCAATCAATCCAACGCTATGCTTAACCCAATCACGCGTAAACAAGCTTGCCTTTAAAAATTTCTTAGCAGCATATTTTTTCTCGAAGGCATCACTCTTCCGCGGCCTACGAAGAAAATCGACCATCAGATCTACCACTGGGCGTAATTCTTCTTCAGTATAGTACGAATAGTGAACCAAGTTATTGTTCTATTGATCAATACAGATGCGAAATTAGTTTAGTAATTAAGACAAAAGAAAGTAATTCGGTGCTTACCCATTCACCACGATTAAGCATTTTCCGAGCCAAATACAAGGCAGCGGCAGCAGCCATAGATGGAGCGGTTCCTAGAAAACGATTGTCGAACAGACTTATCTCCATGAGATACTTTGCGATCGTACGTGTCTGAATATCATAATCATCAGCTTTTGAAACGCGCCGGAGGAAATTCATGGGATTTGGGTAGCAGAGACGAAAATCGAGTACTTGTAATACATATCTCTCTGCTTTCAAAATCTCTTTATCGGAGTAACCACCATCTGCCATATACACGAAATTTTTTACAGATGGGGCAACAACCTCTTCATATTTTGAAGCGATAAACATCGCAGTTATGCCAACTAGTTGTAACTTGACGAGAGAAACAACTCTGAGAGAAAGAAAGCGGTCGACGATGTTAACAGCCAGGTAAAGAGTTTCCGGCAATAGTCGGAAATTAGAGTGTATTTCAACAAGCCAATCCACTAGAATAGTGCGCATTTTCCAACCGAGTTCTTTCTGATTGTCCATATAATTAGAATTAGGCATCGTTTGTTTCTAGATATTTGCGATCGATTTGAAACAATACCCATATAATAGATAAATACAGATTATAAAGTGATTAGGGTCTGTCAACGTTTAACGTTTAAGCCATCTCATCGAGACAGGTAATCAATCAATTGTCATGAATTTCTTTTATTCTTACCTCCAGTTCTCTCAAATAATCAAAAATCTCAACGACATATTCAGAGACCATCAACGGGTCATTAAAATCATCGGCATCCAGATCATCCCATCTTTGAACCTTTGCCTTCTTGGCTCGCAGTCTGTCAAGTTCGGCTTCATAAGCTTCTGCTTCGTGGACGTGCTGCTTTAGTGAACTTGTGTCTATACTGTGCGAAATATCTGTCACAGGATCGGGCAATTTTACAGTGTTCTGCATAGCTGCTGCAGCACGCTTACGACTTAAGAACCTTGCTTGTTGCTTGTGTTGTATTATCGATGAGATTGTACTTGATGCAATCTCCTTTTGAAGAACAGCCACGTTTGCAGAAACCGTCTCTTTCTTGACCACAGGAACATTATTTGCAGATAATTCTTTTAACGGTGCATGTTTAGGGGCAACGACGTCGTCCGCGCGTGTGAGAAGTTGACTCTCATTTGGAACAGGTATACCGCTGACAACACGTCTGCGTACAGCTTGACGATTAACAGGTTTAACCGCTTTGCCAACAACAGGTACCGCTTCTTTGACTAGTGCCAGCTTTGACTTATCATCAGTTATTGTGGCTTGTTTACTTACACTGCTAGAAGTATTACTGACATCCCCAAGTGCTGGGCGTCTTAAACGTGACAGGGTAGTGGTCCTATGAGAAAGTGGTGCTGTAGAAATTTGAACACTTTCTTTCGCTAACTGCCGCACATCAGTAACATTTTCGTTACTTTCCGTAACAGGCTGCTTAATAAGTTTGCGCTGCTGATATATTGCAATGCTTTGCTTAGTTGAGAACTCAATAGAACATCACCGTAGACATGTGCAAGTCAGAAGCATCATATAATCAATTAAATTCATGACCAAACAACAAGTACCTGCTGAACTTGTCTGTTTGTAAACATTTTTAGACAACTCGCTGAATGCCTGAAGAGGCAAGAGAAGTTGATAAAACACGCGGTAGTTTTCGTTGGAATAAGCTTGTTTATTCTTATCACCTGTTTCAGTATTCTGCGACGCGCCACTTACTGTAGCAAGCCGTCTGTCCAAAACAGATAATGCGCAACGGAATATACAACGTGATAAGATAACCGAAACTGAGTTAATACAATGCTACACTTGAAGGGCGAAGAGAAAGACTTATCAATTGACATATATAAATGGATTAAAGGCTACCGCTTTTAGCAATACAGGAGAATTGATGCCAGATATTTACCAAACACGTGATTAAAACTACTCGCGACGCGTTGCTTCGTACAAATAAGGTATTCCCCGAATGAATAATTAGACGCAGGCTATATAAAGTCAACAATAATTCAGGGGCCCAAGTACCCAATGGGAACACCTTTAGCGTTCAATTGTAGGTGTTGGCAAATAAAGAACGCAAAACTCCAAGTACCCAATGGCTTATTAATGAATTATGCAGTTATGACTTTTGTCTAGATTTGTTTTTGCAACAGTCACATTTTTTATGTTTTACTATTCAATCTTGATATAAAGAAAGACATCTCCCAACTTTTAAAGCATTATCATAGAAACGTCAGCACATACATGATGATTATTAGAAATAGTAATAGTAGTAGGAAGACATTTTAAATACATTACCGAAGAACACTTTGAATTGATATTTGTTATGTAGTTTTGGACTTTCAACTAATACTAATACTAATACTAATAGTGCGTGGATTTGATGTCGACGGCGGCACAGCTGTACACAAACGAAATCTAAGATTTGCATTGGTCGATACCCTTATTTATATCACCTGATATTAATTTACACAGTTTAGCCGATTTCAATAGATCGTTAAAGATTGAACCGAATGATGCATGGACATTGAAAAAGAGGGCGAATGTCTATCTTGTGAGTAACCAGTATAAAGATGCTATGAACGATCTCAACAAGTCATTGAATATTAAACCAGGAAATGCACGGGCATTAAAATTAAGGGAAGAGGTCCAGGTTTTGCTTGAAAAACAAGGATTATACATACTTTTGTTGACAGTTCATCTCTAAATCTAATTAAATTTTTATGTACCTAAGAATCGAGTAAACAATAGTATATAATACATGGGACCGTTAAGAACCCTCAACGAAGATAAAGCCAATTTTTATCTAGAGTACAGTAATATCATATGGCAACTAAAGCAAATTCTTTGAAGATTGATCTTATTATTAGTAGACATTGAGAGCGCGACCGGGGTTTTGGATTGCCGTTAGCATTTCTTCTTTACATATAACACAATAACATATTAATATGATATCTATTACATAAACAATCAACTTGTATTATAGGGACAAGCAACCAAAGGACGCCCTATGAACTTGTGTTTGGACAAGAAGCTTGTTCTGGTTTTGCTTTGATAAAGTTATACGATCAAGACATAAGGGGCGAGGAAGAATAACAGACAATGTGGCTGTGTAAATAATTAGAATATAAGAGAGGGTTAAAAGAAAGCGTTGTGTCAAATAACTCTGCAAGCAAGCAACGATAAAGACAATGATGAGAGTGGGCGCGATGTACCTGAATCTGAAAGTTCTCCAATGCCATCCTATTGTTGCTTTCTGCTTTCGCGTTTACATCTTACAGCGTCAATTTCACATTTTGGCACGACAATATTAATATATACAAAAAACGGACATTTCTCCATCCCATTGAGAGTAATTGAGAAAAACAGTCATGCGTGCTAATGGCATCGAAGTTACACGAACCGGAATTCGACTGCATTTAATATTAAGCTGAAAAGAAGAATATATAAATTGCACATAGGTATGTCTGTTTGGTGGTATATGAAAAAAGAGATACCATATTTCCGTGTCTCTTGCATCTCCAATTATCCTAAACACACTTCAAGGTGTTGCAACGGAATTTTACGACTAACAAAAAATTCGGTCGTGGCTGGTCATCCAATAGTACAGTCAAACCTCAATATAGTAAAGTTTCGATACAGTGAATTTCGCGCTATAGTAAAGATACAAAAATAGTATTATTAATTTCCCCACGATACAATGAAGTTATATAGTAAGTCTCGTTATTAGATATAG